TTCTTACTCAGCACTTTAACTCGCAGGAAAACAATATAACAGTATTTCAGTGCGTACATAAAATGAAACATGAATATACGTAAATATCTCCGTCTCCGTCTAATGAGGCCGAAAATCCGCCATGTTTAGCGCGCCAAATGTCATTGTCNATTTGTTCAGAGTGGGGGTATTCATCTGATTAATCCATGGAATAACCGACACACCTAATCTCTTAACCCAGATAGAAATATCAGCACTGTCGATTGCACCTATAATTGAGGTGATGTCTGCCATGTACTTTTGTCAGTTTTTCAATTTTTTTTATTGATGATCACTTTGTTGGTGCAACTAAATAAATAAATAAATTAAACTATATATAAAAATAAAAGTAGTGCCAACCCTAACAAATTTCTCGTTTCGTCCCAATTAACCGCAATTTTCGGGTAAATAGGGATTACACCTATTTTTGCATTTTTTGCTTAAACTGGAATGCTAGTTGCATAATTTTAAATTGGATAACAAAGATGCCCCCAAGACTCAATCATTTTGATCCTGATATAGCATTATATACATCAACAGCTACCTTAAAATTGCTCATAAAGTTGGAATTTGTCCCTAATCGCCCCATTTTACGGTACTTATTAACTTCATGCGTCTATTATCAAAGGTGGCAATCTGTGCGTTTGGACAAAAAAAAATATTGATATGTCAATACAGATTGATTTGAATATAATCGTCTCCTTCAAAGAATACGGTTCAAAACCTGCATTAAGTAAAGGTTAATAGTTAACCTGTTATTTATCTAAGATGTCGTTCCGAAGAGTTTTGTGACTGCCAATGGAATACAAAGTCAATAATTAGTTTTTCTGATTTACCAATCATTGTCCAAAAGTCAGATTGCCGGCTTTGTTAATAGTCGACTCATATATTAATATATCCTGAAATAAAAATGTTATTAAGGCCGAAGCCAACTACCATAGATAATATACATAATATATTTCTACAAAACAAGCCGCTGTCGACTTTATTTTTGCTACGTTCCTCTCTGGACCTCTGATTAGTAAAAGGTAAAGACAACACAATGGTAGCGTTTTAGTGGATCTGTAATTGAAATACAAATCAATTTTAAGCCTTTATTTATTAATAAATAATTTAATTAGTTATATCCTGTACTGATGAAACTTAATTTTTTAACTATGTGTTAAAGAGTAAAATTTTAGTTCTATTGATACTGAGGACGTCAACGCGAGGTGTAAAATTAATTGAAGTGGTTTAGTTTGTTAATTTAATGTTTCTTCGGGTTTAAGCATGTAATATTATTGGCTTATTCACATGATGGTTTATTGGCCGTTTAGCATCTGTGAAAGTGTACAAATCTGTTAAAGGTTTCTCGGGATCTTCTAAAAAGACCAGTAAAGTCTTAATAAATTCCTACCACATTACTGGAAAGATCTTTCCTTCATTTCATATCGTCTCATTCCATTTCAATCAATTTAATTCCCATAGGCTAAAAATTCAATGAAATCAACTTCGTTCATCTTTATTTTCCGTTTAAATTACTTACCTAATATTTGAAGATATTAGGCTCGACGCTGGCACCAAGACATACCTTGAAGTCAATTGCAATACTGGAAAAAAGAAGAAGCAAAAACTCGATACTGGCAACAGTCGTCTTAGCCTCTGGTTAGTGGCAGTCAACTGGTTTTGAAGTCGTCGTGACCTACAGGATCGGTAGAAGACGTTCGGTACCAATTTTCCTAATAAAATACGTACCTACATAACAAAATATTTTCACGGTTGACATGGTGAAGGAATAACATCGTGTAATATATAAAAATGAATTGCTGTTCGTTAGTCTCGCTAAAACTCGAAAACGGCTGGACCAATTTGGCTAATTTTGGTTTTGAATTATTTGTGGAAGTCTAGAGAAGGTTTAAAAGGTAGATAAATATGAAAATGCTCGGAATTAAATAAAAATACCCCGTCGGACGGATTCCTTTTGTTTGTTTTAAGTTTATTTTGTACAAAAGTTTAGGTCTTTTATTTATCGATTGAGGCACTACGAAGTCTGCCGGGTCAGCTAGTCGTGTAATAAAAGTTGAACCCGCAAAATTATAATTGCGTAATGACTGGTGATAGGACCTCTTGTGAGTCCACACGTTCGTGTGGACCTATTCAAGTGCTACCACCCTACCTATTTTTGCCGTGAAGCAATAATGCGTTTCGGTTTGAAGGGTGGGGCAGCCGTTGTAACTATATTGAGACCTTAGAACTCATATCTCAAGGTGGGTGGCGGCATTTACGTTGTAGATGTCTATGAGCTCCAGTAACCACTTACCACCAGGTGGGCTGTGAGCTCTTCCAACCAGCTATGCGAAAAAAAAAGCGGTATCTCACTTTTTTTCAGCTTGGAAATCAGCTACCTATTTAGGTAGCTAATTGCCAAGCTGAAAAAATGTAGAGTGACGACCATGATTAATTTATAAATTTGCATTGATAAAAATGATTCGTAAATCAGTATTAATTCTATAATCAATTAAATCAGAGGATGACGAACTATAGAAAAGTTATGATTTTATTTATTTCTTATATGGGTGAATTAGTTCATGGTTCATCTGATGTTAAGTGGCTACGTTACGCAGTCCATAGGTATCACAACGCAAAAGCCATAAGTCATCTCAAGACCTTAATTCGATGTCTCAGTGGTAGGTAATAACAGATGCCCCATCCTCAAATCTCAAATCTCAGCTCGTTGCAGATATACTTAGTCTGGCCGTAAATACTGTGACAAAGGAAAACAAAAAAAAATCTGGCAAATAACATTTATTACTTTTACAGTGTGTTAGTTTAATACATAAATATAAAACAATTTAAAGTATAAAAAGTTATCGAAGTGCTCTCCATTGGCTGCAATACAGTCCTTTAAACGTTGAGGCCAGTTATCAATAGAAGCACGCACTTTTTCCATGGGAAACTTTTTCACTGCCAATCGTACGGATTGTTTTAGGGACTCCAAATTATCATGGCGTTTAGAGCAAGCCGTACTCTCTAAATCATAATCCAGCGGATTAAGATCGGGACTAGACGACGGCCAGTCTTCAGCCCTGATGAAGTCCGAAACGTTCGTTTCCAACCAAGACTGCGTAGACCGAGCTTTATGACCTGGCGCCGAGTCTTGCTGGAAGGACCATTCTTGATTATTGAACATGGTGTTGTTAAGGGGCTTCACTACCTTCTCAAGAATGGTATCTTGATACACTTGTGCCGATGTTTTGATACATTTTTCACAAAAGTATGGCCCAATCACTCCTTCATAGCCAATACCCCACCAAACCATCACTGAAGTCGGATAGTGCCCACGTTGCACTCTGTCGACTAATTGGGAAGCTTCCTTAGAGCTTTGAGCATAAATACGGACATTTTGTTTGTTAAAATATTGCTCAATTGTAAAAAATTTCCCATCCGTAAACAAAATTTTACTATGACCTCCCTTTGCGTACCGCTTCAGTAGTTGTTTCGATTTTACCACCCTATTATCTTTTGAATTATCAGTTAAGAAATGACCAGTACGTCTCTTATAGGCTGCAAGTCCTAAGTCATCTTTTAAAATACGCGATATGGTTCTAAGTGCTATCTTCATCTCCAGAGATAAAATCTTTTGCTTTCGGACAGGATTTCTTCGAATTCTTTCGCTTACTGCTTTGACCATCTTTTTCGTACGAACACTACGTAGACGGCCAGATCTTTTTCTGTCACAAACAGAGGAGGTCTCATTGCACCTATTAATAGCCCGGTACACAAACATTTTACCAATACCAAGCGTATGGAGAGTTTTAAAAATTGCATTTGGCTCCATACCTACTTTGTGTAATGCAATGACAGCGATTCGGTTCTCTTTATTATCACCCCAGTCCATTTTAATATCGCAAAATATTGTACAATGTATTGGGCGCCAAAATGAGAAAACTCAATGAGTAGGTAATCATATAAAAATGACAGATTCCAAATTCAAATGTAACATTTTGTTTATTTTTAATTGTAACAGTATTTATGGCCAGACTAAGTAGATACGTGGTTCATGGTTCAACAGGTGTCAAGTGGCTAATGCAGTCCACAGGAATGTCAATGCCGTAACGTATTTGGAAAAAAATTGTATTTTTTTTGCCCTTTTAGGCAGTAGATCATATGGCCCATCTGATGGTGAGTGATTACCGTCGCCCATGGACTTCAGCAAAGCCAGGGGTAGAGCCAAGAGGTCAATGTCTCAATGGTATTATATAATGGCTGTCCCGATCTTCAAACCTCGCCTCGTTGCAGATATATGCATGTGGCTTAAATTACGTCCCACTAAATTCGGACAATATCGTTCAGCAATGAATTTACTGAAAGACATTCTGTACCTACATGATATAAAAGAGCTTAGATATTAAATATTATATAGTAGGTACATATTACAATGTGGATACCGGTATGTGCTTCAAGATATAAGATTGAATGTATAAACCGCGATCTTCCCTATCGAAATGGAAAGCTTGGTTACTTGATACCTAGCTAGTTGACAAATCAAAAAGTTACGATTAACTAATAATTTATTATCATTATCACTATCTTATGCATTCGATTAAACATGTTTCAATGATATAATTAGTTTATGGTAATGAGTTCAGAGGACTAACGATAAAGGTTCGGAGCCTCTCCGCTTGAAGGAATACGAAGACCTCGCCACCCTCTGTGGTGTTACACGATTTTCACATTATTGTCCTTAACAGTAAAATAAAAGATAAGGACTGAGTATATCAGAGGAAGTGTGAAAGTAGCCCCGGTAATTAACAAATTAAAGAGCGGACGGTTAGCGTGGTATGGACATGTGATGCGTAGAGAGAAGATGCATGTGCCTAGTAGATGTACGGAAATGGTAGTGGTAGTGGGATAAGGTGAAGAAACAGAAGAACATTAAAACATGTTTTTCTTATTAAATTAACATTGGAATTGCATTAAATAAAAACACGATTCTTTTTGGTATTATGTTTTTTTTTTATTTCATTAAGATTATTTGAAATTCAAACAAACAACGCTGTTGTTTCAGATTGTTGATGAGATCAAATTCACGTATTTCATATTTTATGGTCGCCATCGCTGTAAAATAGGTCCAAGTTTCCTTTAAGGCTTACTAAATATGGCGAACTGTAACTTTCACATTAATTAATGCTAGAAAAAGAACACTCATGGTATTGAAGATTTCTTTAAAATCCGTCAACGCTACCGATTCTTCTGTGATCTGTGGCCGGGACCAAATATCCCGAGCGATCACGGTGTATGGCCACCATTGCAGCGAAACCCGCCGTGGGTCCCAGTTCAGTTGTTGCATGTCCTTTGCTACGCAATGATGCTATTACGTCCTGAAAAGAAAATTTGCTGTGATAAGTAAAACCTGCTACGCCGGTAGGAGTAACGTCATTGATCGCCGAAGAGTCGAAAAGAATATTAAAGTAACTAGTAACGTCGAGAAAGCTCGAGAAGTACAACGCCATCTATTGTCAGATATCGGAAACACACATCGAAGCTACTCGACTTGCCCAGAATGTTCTCGATAAATCTAGGGATGTCTCATTGACTTTATAGTCTTGCCATCTCTCATCATGGCACGAAGTCAATTACTAATCAGAACTACTCTTTTTTTATTTATTGCTTAGATGGGTGGACGAGCTCACAGCCCACCTGATGTTAAGTGGTTACTGGAGCTCATAGACATCCACAACGTAAATGCGCCAACCACCTTGAAATATAAGTTCTAAGGTCTCAGTATAGTTACAACGGCTGCCCCACCCTTCAAACCGAAACGCATCACTGCTTCACGGCAGAAACAGGCAAGGCGGTGGCACCCACACGTCCGGACTCACAAGAGGTCCTTTAAATATTTCTTTTTATATTTTATCTTTTTATATTATATCTTTTTATATTATATCTATTATAATTTTGCGGGTTTGATTTTTATTACACGATGTTATTCCTTCACCGTCGTGAACATTTGTTAGGTACGTATTTCATTAGAAAAATTGGTCCCCGTCTGCGGGATTCGAACATCGGTGCGCCGCCGCGCCGATAGACACACTAATGCACCGGACGTCTTATCCTTTAGGCCACGACGAATTAAAGCGAAACAGCGAACGGATCACCGGAAGCGCAGCGGAAGAAGCCAATTGATATTTGTAAAGTATTCTGTGAGTGTTCTAAGTGTTAATAAAGTTTTAATTTGTACTTCGGTAGATTTTTTGTTTATCCCGAACCCCAGCGCGTAGCAAACCCATGAACTATGAAATCATAGCGGAGTGCCAAGGGAAGCGTATTGTAGCAATGATGTATACACTCTTTGTAGAAAAAAAACCTAATTCGTGTTCCCGCACGACTTCTGCTAATGAATCAAGATTCAATCTCTTAAATTTATAATAAATTAGCTTAGTTGTAAGTGTTAACGTAATATTTGTATTTTTGAGGTCAAATGGGTAGGTAGCATCAATTTCCTAATTGCTGTGTGCATCCATACAATACCGTTAAGACTTCAGTCTCATGCCGCAAATTCGTTATAATCAAAGCTCGTGTCCTCACTCTTTTAGTAACAAAAAATAAGTGTAAATGGATGTGACGCGTGTAAAAACTATAGATACATTAGAATGTACTCATATTGGGTAGTACCTTATTAAGTACGAAGAATGCTATCAATTAAGTTCCGGTATAGTGTTCGACAACTTTTTTGACAACTTTTTTATGACTGAAACTTTGATCGCATGGATATATATAATTAAGGCTGCTTTTGAATAATTTATGGTGATTGTAACAACGAACGCACTAAGAGTGCTAAAATATTTCTCAATAGTTTTGTCTACAATAAAACTATGTATAATTTTCTGATGATATTTTAGAGAATGGCTTGATGTGCTACATTAAATGACGCGGTGTGAGTACGTAATTTCCGGTCATCGTTCTCGTCGAACCCGTCGCTTGCGACGAAGGGCTCGGCGAGTAAATTAACCCACAGACACAACCCACTGAGTTTCTCGCCGGATCTTCTCAGTGGGTCGCGTTTCCGATCCGGTGATAGATTCTGCGAGGCACTGCTCTTGCTAGGATTCCTGTTGGAAACAACGTCAGGTTTGAGCCTCGCGAGTTCACCTACTAGTTCGATGAATCTAGAATAACCCCTCGAGGTTACTAGAATAGGTAGGAAAAAAAAACGTAATTTACTGTAAATCAATGGCAATCGGTGACTTTTTTTTCATTTGCGTGTGGTCAAGCCTTGTTTAGCGTGAGGCGTTGTGGCAAATTACTCACTGAATCGAAATTAGCTTCGTGTTGAATTTCCATCGGCAACAGTTGATGATGTAATCGAGGTCGCCGAATCACATCCGGGAGGTCGTGGCCCTCGACTATGATGTGTGTCGCCATCTGCAAATCGAACGTGACGTGAAAAACAAAATATTTCACCATCATTAACATTTCCGAATAATTTTATTTTTTATATTCAACATTTAGCAACGTTTTTATAATTAAGCGTATTATTTCTTTCGTCTCACCTTGATGAATATTTTACGATGAATTTAATAAGTAAGTACTTAGTTGATTATCTAAACTAAAAGTCTTATTGTCAGTTATTTTGTTTTTGATATGGACTTAACATTAATGTGTATGGTGACATGCTAGTAGTATAGTTTAATAAAAAAAATCCGGTAATAGCCTGAATCGCGTTAACGACAATTTCAAGATTATCTTTAATGCATGTACCTATATTGGGGCTACTACGAACTACGAAGGTATACTATGAAGGGAAGATCTTCCGCCGAGCGGATAATATTGCTCGGTAGACCGAGACGGTCCGAAGATTGTTGTTCGGAACTTGTATCTATGCAAGCTTATCTTGAAAATGTCGTAAGCGAGATCCAGGCATCTGTCAAATATCTTGTGTTCTGTGATGGCTACCGCCACACATATCCAGGAAACATACCTGCTCAATGAAGATCTTCCCTTTGTGTTACGTTACCTATTGTTACAGAGGATGAGAGTAGTAAAAGTCGTTCTTAATTACCAATGCGACTTGAGTTGTAATTTTAGTGCCACCGGCTGCACCCAAAACTAAATCTGCAGCTCCGCTCTTTGACACAACAACACTGGGCACCATTGAACTGAGAGGCTGTAGTCCAGGAGCTAGCATGTTGGCCGGCGAAGGGGGAAGTCCATATGACGAGTCTCGATTCGGAATGGCGAAATCATCCATCTCATTGTTGAGTATGAAGCCCAGACTTTGAGACCTTCTTTGCGAGCCCCATCTGAAGAAGAACGAAGCTTATTTATTTCAAAGCAGCAGTGATATAATTTCCCAATAATTATGTAAAGTGTAAAGGGATTCATTTGCAAATTCTAAAAGCAGAAGCAGCAGTCAGAGTAAAGAAACAGGAAAGGAATTTAAAGGCGACGTCCGGTGCATTGGTCTCTAGCGATGCACTGGTGTTCGAATCCCTATATATATCGAGGCGGGTACCAATTTTGTTAATGAAATACGTACTTAAGAAATGTTCACGATTGACTTCTACGGTGAAGGAGTACTATGGTGTAGTAAAAATCAAACCCACAAAATTATAATTTGCGAAATTACTGGTGGTAGGACCTGGCATGAGTCCGCACGGGTAGGCACCACCACCCTGCCTATTTCTGCCGTGAAGCGGTAATGCGTTTCGGTTTGAAGGGTGGGGGCAGCCGTTTTAACTATACTTGAGATCTTAGAACTTATATCTCAAGGTGGGTGGCGCATTTACGTCGTAGATGTCTATGGGCTCCAGTAACCACTTAACACCAGGTGGACTGTGGGATCGTCCACCTACCTAAGCAATAAAAAGAAATCCATGTTTGCTCTCTACAGCGAACCTTGAGCGTCAGCTGTTTTTAATGGTATTGCATTAAGCGCAATCTACAACGCGTTTGGAAAAATTCATCAAATTAAACTACAATTCATTATGATTTGTCAAGGTTGAAGCACTAACAGTCGTGTCTATTTTACGGTAGGTAATGTATCCAATACGGCTCGTATAGTTAGTCAATTCAAATACAGTTTTAAAGTTAATCTTTGCGTACATAAAGTTGATAGTGCTGGTTGCAGAGACCACGCTCCCGTCGGGCGCCACAACGATGACGTGCGCTGTCCCGTGATCGTCTGCTCCCTCGAACACAGCTTCATAGTGTTTCCAATCATTGTATGTGCGGGTGTCGTCCACGCGCCCTCTATACGAGGCAGCCCACTCAGCATTTGCAAGGTTTTGCTCTAACTGCATCAATGACAATTTTAGCTGGTTATTATTTTAATTAGCTATATTATATTTTATGGGCGGCCCGCCGTATCAACATCTCTATTCTCAAGCAGTTAAAAATAGAAAAGATTCAACGTCTATCCACAACCTGCTTACAAAGAATATTGCGGTATTTCGGTCATGCTACACGCAGGGATACTAGTAATTTGGAATGCCTTGTGGTGACCGGTAAAATCGAGGGAAAAGGCCTAGGGGTAGAGGTCCCAAACGATGGTCGGACCAAATAGCGGAGGTACTAAAAATACCTGTCAGCGACGCACTCCACCAAGCTACAGAACGGGATCGATAGAGACTGACGGACTACTAGTCTAGTAACTAGTTGACGGAATCAAACGGAGTCACGATCCTCAGTAATGAGGGACCGATTGAAGAGAGAGAGTATCTACCTACAGGAGCTCGGCATCAAGCAGCGTCTGTCCTCCATCGTTCAGGGTCACAATCTCATTTTCTTCGGACATGTGTCGCGACGGGGTAACGACTCAGTTGAGCGCCTTGTAGTGCATAGTATGATAGAGGGTACAAGACCGCGCGACCGTTACGATGGGCCGACCAAATAAAGGCAGCTCTAAATGATCCTGTCAACGAGTGCACAAGAAAGGCTGCGGTACGCAAGGAATGGCGACGTATTGTGAACAATTCCCAAAATAGAGACCACGACCACTCTGCCAAGAGTGCAAGCACCTGAGAAGAACTTTTTTTTTTCCTACCTAAGCTGATAGCCTTGAAAGGCGATATTACAGCGTAACCTTAACTAGTAGGTGAGCTCACGGGGCCCAAACCTGAGGACGTTGCTAACACGAACCCTAGCAAGAGCTGTGCTTCGCAGAATCTACCACCGGATCGGAAACGCGACCCACTGAGAAGATCCGGCGAGAAACTCAGTGGGCTGTGTCTGAGGGTTAATTTACTCGTCGAGCCCTTCGTTGCAAGCGACGGGTTCGACGAGAACGGTGACCGGTGCTTGAGGTACCTAAAAGCACCGTTAGTGGATCGGGAGGATCCGAAATGACGTGTTTTGGGCGACGTCGACTGTTTACCATTCGGTCTACACTCTACAGGATCGGGTATGACCCTGAGAAGAACACTAGTATGACTTTAACAGGTTTACGTTACTACATATATTTTCATCTAGATTTGAACACGAATTGTATATAATTTGGATACGTAGCTACCTCAAGAATACTTTGGTTAAGGTTGTGACGTGAAGGGTCCCCGAGGCCTGTTCGCTTCGCGTACGCGTATTTGAAGGTTTCTACGATGCGATGCCAGTATAGGTCGGAGCCTACGGGAGCCACGGTGTCGACGCCGATCCATCCGCGTAGCATGTTCAGTATAAACGCTAGCACTGAGCCCGAGCCGGGCAGGGGCACCGAATATAGCGTGTGTTGCTCCGTCAGCGGTATTGCGATAGGTTCTTGCCATTCTACCCTGTAATTATTGAAAGTCTGGTCTACGTGATTGGCATAGACAATTAAATTATCTAATCGAGGGGTGAAAGGCTAGTTGGTTTAAGTGACAATTTTGCAACTTTACTGGAGAGCCATTTAAAGTTTAAAAATTGGAAAACATAACAAAAAAAAGTCTTCAGCTCTTTCAATGGAGTAAACTTATTAAAGCTCAATTATAAACTTCTGTAAATTAAATGGTTGTCCGGAAGAGATCGCTTTTAGCGATAAAACCGCCTATTGTACATATGTATCTGCTTTTGACTGTTTTTGAATGTAAATTGTGTTTTGGTGTGCAATGAAGTGTATTCTTTCTCTCTCTCTCTTTCGCTCTCTCTCTCTCTCTCTCGCTCTCTCTCTAAATATAGCGTATTAAGCGAAATGTCGCTTACGCCAAATAACCTTTCACCCCTCCATATAATTCAGATAGTTACAGACCTGTAGTTCCGTAGGTCGTCTTCGGTAATAATACCGCCGAAGTTCTGTATGTCTTGTACGAGTCGCGCCGTTAGTGAGCCGTCGTGAATCGCCTCGGGGCCCTCCTCCGCTATAATTTCTAAAGTTTTGGCAAAAGTGGGATCTGTTATGTAGTCGCCCACGTTCCACACTTTGCCTGTCGCCTTGTTGACATAAAGTTCCCTGTAACGTTTAATATCATATACACAGCTTTACTGGTGGTAGGATGTATTGTGATTCCACACGGTTAGATACCAGTATCCTCAATTCTGCCCGTTTGTATTGCCAGTAGTCACGAGTTACAGTGTGAAGTGTGGCATAGCTGTTTTCCAATACAATTGAAACTGTAATCATAAGTCAAGGTGGGTTCATCACGTTATGATGTTTTTGAGCTTAACATTAGGCAAACCGTGAGCTCGTTATGCTTAGCTAATTTAAGTAGAAATTCTTTAAGAAGAAAATCTTTCATAATTAGAATTTCATTAGTAGATTTTAGACGATTTGATGCTCATCTAGGTTTTTTAACTGGTGATAGGACTTGTGAGTCCGCACGGGTAGGTACCACCACCCTGCCTATTTCTGCCGTGAAGCAGTAATGCGTTTCGGTTTGAAGGGTGGGGCAGCCGTTTTAACTATACTTGAGATGTTAGAACTTATATCTCAGGTGGGTGGCGCATTTACGTCGTAGATGTCTATGGGCTCCAGTAACCACTTAAAAACCAGGTGGGCTGTGAGCTCGTCCACCCGTCTAAGCAATAAATAAAAAAAGTTAGCCTATCACCTCATAGACGGTTCCGCCATGATTCGGTCGCTGAAGGTTTGTAATACTCTGCCCATGTATTCGGTGACGCGGTGTCCACGACGGCACAATTCTGCTGTTGGTTGCACTAGCTCTCGCCACGGTAAGCGTCCGTACTCCTGGTACAGTGCGCCGTAACCTCGTAGCTCTCCGGGTACGGCGATCGCGAGCCCGCCCACGGTCGACGACGCGTTCTCGTACATGTTCAGGGTCGTGGCGGCGGGAGCTCGTTCTCTGGCGTTGAGTACCCTCACCCGTCCCGTGCTCGCGTCGTACACGGTCGCTAGGAACCCGCCTCCCAGTCCCATACATTGCGCGCAAGATATCCCCTCACAGAACAACGTCGCTATCGCAGCATCGACAGCCGAGCCATTCTTTTCAAGTATCTCCCTGAAAGACGTAAACTGTCAGCTGTTGGGGTTGTTAAGTGAATTAAATAACATTGAATTATTATTAGTTATTATTAGAACGAAATTAAGTGACTATTCATAAATGCTAAGAAACCTAGGAGGCCTCTTAGCATTTAGAGTAGGTACAGGGATAGTTATATTAAGATTGAGATGTATAAAAGGAACCGAAGAACTCAAATATCCTCTTGAGGCATATGGTAGAGAGCCTGGTTTGGATATTGAGCTGTCTTAATATGCGTTAGTTCATACTAAGACATGATCCAAAGAGGGATAATGGGAGGAGATGGTCACGACCCTCGGACATGAGGAATGCCACTCAGAGAGGAGATATCAAATGGAGCTTTAAAGTTTTAGCTTTACTAGAAACATTATGCACGTAAATGGTATCCAAGGTCGTCCAGCATTAGCATTAGTTTATATACTTAACATACTTTTGTTGGTTTATATTGAATTAAATTGGTTTATACGATGTCAAGCCTATTATAGAAAACGTTATTCATTAATCACTGACAATTGAAAAATATCACCAAAATCCAATTGAACGATCATAGTTAACCTTGGTGACAATTATGCCGCATGCACAGAAAATTAATTGATAACGTACCTCCCGACGGTGGCGCACTCGTGCCCATTAGCAGCGACGGCGGCGCGCTGATAACGCACGTGCTGTGAACCGGTCCACGGCTGTAGCACCAGCACTGCGATCAGCGCGCCTATCAACACGACCGACAACACGCTGCCTAGCACCCAAAACCGGCGGCGGTTGTCGCAAAATCTATAATCGTAAGCATATACCATCAGAGAAGTGTGGCGGCGTGTTGCGAAGCTTGCCACCGACACTTGAAGTGATGACCGCGGCTACTCTGTCCAGAATGATACCAACAAAGAAGAATAAGAAGAATCATATACCGGAATTTTCCAACCCCCAAAAGTACTGTTTAATTTATTGACGACACACCAGCGTTATTTTATTATATTGGTAAAAATAGGGGTTGAAAAATTCCGTATCATCATCCGTATCATCATCCGTCTCTAAAATGTACGAAATATGTTAAACATCAGATTTTCTGTATTGATTTTACTAAAACCAAACGAAAGAGCATAAAATACGACAACTTAAGGTTGTTTTGATCTAGCTTCCCATAAGGTAACTGATAAACGCACTGATAAAAACAACACTTACTATAATATAGTCTTGTAACGAAAAATAATATCAAAAACGAATTTAAGCATTTTACAATAAATAAAATCGTACTAAAGGACAATACGAATAATTTATAAGCGAATATACAATTTGAAGTGCGTATTTGTCAAAACATGACAAAATATGACGGGTTCTTTTTTTTCGAGTCTCTGAGAATTGGATCTTGTTTGGTCCATTATTAATGTAAACAAGTATATTCAAATTTTATTGCCAACGTATCGTATGCTAAATAAGTACATATTATGTAGATATGTAAATGATCGTTAAAATAATTTTACGCTTCGAACCAGTGAATGGCTGTTGATGCTACGTCATAAATATACATTGTTATTGATAAAAGCGTTTTTCATTGTACCATAATTTTATCTTATCGTATTTTTCATTTTTATTACTTACTTAATCCTGAATTTTGATATGTAATACGTGGTAAGTATGTAAGTAAAATGACCTTACTGTTTCTTTATGGTTTTTAATTTTATTTAGTGTTGATGTTGCGGTGGCAAATCGGTAACGATAAGGTTGTGGCGGAAAATTCCTAAAATCTTTCTGCATTCAACTTATCTATAGTTCAAAACACACAAAAAAACGTCTATATACACAGAAATTTCGTTTAATCCCTTGGATAACCTTACCGAGACTCTGATATATCTACACTAATATATAAATCAACAGTGGTTTTCACGGATGTTCCGTTATAACTACTGAACCATACATCCGATTGACTTGAAACTTGGTATCCATGTAGAAAATACATGTACTTAATGGATAGGCTAATATTTATATGAGTGTTGAACTCCCTAATAATAATGTTAATTTTAAATGCCCAGCGAAGCGGCCGAGTACGGCTAGTGTAAGTATAAAGTCTCAGTATTCAATGGCTCAGATCCAATAATGAATTAAATTCGACTTATATCATTCGGATACTTAAATCAGATAGTTATACAGATAAAAGTTTTGATTTCTTCTACCTTTATCATACTCTGAAAGACACTCTGATACCTAATTGATTACTATATCAATAATTTCGTTATTTGAAAAAGCTGAAAGTGCTCTTTGAGTTGATACCATCGGAATGAAGATATCCCAAATTTGAAGCTACTGGGTTTATCTATAGCGCGTCATTCGTCAGCATTTTTTTCAGGTGTTTTATGACCCGGAGTATTCTGACCGGTGTTGTTCTCCTCGCGTTGCTGACGACCTTAAACGACGGTTACCACCTACCGCCATGTGTGTCGCTTATCATAGACAGTAATACAACAAGATTGCTTAAGACATTCATGAATAGCGAGATCACGATGTAAGTACAAAAACGCACAAGTCTGTTGTGCTAGAATCACAAAACGTGAACACTACTATTAAGGTAACTGTAACAATTAAGTAATAAAGCAGATTAATTAAATAAATAAAATTAATTTATAAAGATTAATTTTATCACTTGTATCTCGTTTGATAAGAATTTCACGTTTGTGCAGAATATGTCTCGTTTGCTATTTAAATCACAGAAAAAATGTAAAATCATTTTTTTTTAAATATATTTCGAAGCGTCATGACTATAATTATAAAAAGTTTGTAATGTTATTAATTGAACAACGTGCTTATTATAGTAACAAAAATGTTGTTTATCTATGGTAAACCCAATTTGTTTGTGATGGGCATACGTCTTGCGGTTTCCTTATGACAGTCACTGTGAATTGTGGGTTTTTTTAAGTATCGTTCATAGGTGTACAGATCTTAGAATTTAAGATTACAATTTTTCTATCGTAATTGGTTCTAATGTACCCACAGATTTTGTCATTTTTATAAATGCGGTTCATTATTTTGTAAATTAGATCAGATGCTATGATTCCCTTCGCGTCGTGAATCAAGAAATTTAGTTCGAATAGCAACTTACAAAGAGGTACTGATGTAGACTTATAAAACGCCACATCAGAAAAAAAAACTCCATAAAAACAGTAAAAAAGACATGAGGTTCATGTGTTAAATTTAACATTACCGCACCTATAAATTCGCAGCTCTAATCTGAGAAAAAACTATAGAAAATACAAACTATTTTACTATTTTAACAACACACATTACAAACTATTTTAATCAAATGAATATCTCACTTTTTTATTTTAGTAAACCTTTGCAGGGTCTTTTAGTAGCTATGTACCATAAGACTGAGAAGATTGAGAGAAATCAACAAGAATCTAAAGAAACTTGTGGCTTCTCTGTTTCAATATTAATATTTTATATCGTGGTTGTCTTCACAGTAACTTACTACGTAAAACAACATTTTTAAAATCGGTTTGTAGGTATATAGCCCTATCGTAAAACTATTGTCCCCATACGTAACCTGATTCACCCCAAAGCCAAGGTGAATCGGGTCAAGCTAGTTTTTTCAGTTTTTGAGTGTGTTTTGTAATGAACTATGTATAATAACGCATCGTATACTAAAATTGAAGCTTCTGGAACCATTTTAATCCCTATTTTATTGGTATTACCCTAAATAAAACCATTGAAAATTTGTGTTGGATTTGGAAAGAGTCCCGATTCCCCCCAACCTACGGTAACTACTTTTACGCCTTAATCTGGTGTTATTATTATCGTTCTACTATTCCCGATGTTTCGAATACTTTAATTTTCAGTCGTCCGTAACGAAGAATAAATAATAAACACGAGATTAGACCGTAAAAGTACTTTGAATTATAGCTCATACTATTTCGTTCTTTGTGAGTTGAAATTTTGTAGTGATTTCTTTTCTGTCGCGACTACTTTTGTTTTTTTAAAACCTGTTTCTATATTTATTAACTAGTATATATTGAGTGTTGTAAAAGAATTGGACGACTTTGTTGTGCATGTTACATAGGAATAAATATGTTCATTAAAATAATTATGTAGCCAATTGTAGTTGCCAATGCAATTATGGCAATACAATTTTGACTAATGGTAGAACGTATACTGAACCCTTTCGGGTATACGCTGTTCTCTTGACATATTCTTCTGTGAAGCAGACATGCGTTTCGGTTTGAGTAGTAGTATGACCGCTATTACAATACGATTGCTTTATTCGTATCAGAAATGGCTTTCACCACGTGTCTCAATACGGTTGGTGTCATCCATCGGTACCGGTTACAACTTCCATGACAGTGGGCTCTTAATTGTTAGCACTCGTGAACATACTGGACAGAATTCTTGGTAGCATTCGACATGAAATAATGAATGTTTTCACTACTTTTCTTTACTTTTACACTACATGTTTTTTTTTTCGACTAGCCCAATTCTCTCGTAATGTTAAACGGTGATCTTAGCCCTTGGACATCAAATCATGAATGCCGCTGTCTCTAATACGGCCAGAGTTCAAGCCAGAACGTGGGAAAGATAGGTAGAATAGTAGAAAATAATGGGTATTTTTTTCAATGCAGAATAATCGTTTAAAGAATAGCGTAATTTTAAGTCGCTCATTTTTGCAATCGCCGAGTGACGTCAGTAATTCAAAATTCAAAATTTATTCAACTTCGCATAGATAATAAACTATACATATTTATAAACATCGAAGGATACATAGCGCTGGTCTAATAATTATAATGAATCTAAAGTAATGAAAGAAGGCACTCACACGTAAAATGTAAACTTTTTTATCATTGTTAACCTTCAACTGTTTAGTAATTGGGATATAAAACATAAAAACTAGTAGTAGAACAAGTTTATAAGAAACCACTAACTTTTTTCTTTTTATTTCTTTTCCGCGTAATCACCATCAAGTACACTGGCAAATATTGAAACTTTTAAAAAATAAAAATAGAAAACTCATCTAATTCACTGAAATAATTATTTAAATTATAAATGAAATTATTTATGAATCTATAAGTAATTTAAACAACTTCTCACCTCACCATTTTCAATGTCGGGACGGGAGTTCGCGCCAAGTGAATGGTAACTACTGCATAGGTCTTCGCTCGTAAGCGTTTGTAAATAAAATAGCGCCCCGTCGCGTAGTCTTACAATTGACAAATGAATAAACGAGGAATACTCAATCTTCACTTATCTAAGTTTAGAACAATCAAATAGAAAGACGATAAAGATTACGATTGATAAAAATCGCCGACGATGTCATAGATAACGGAAGTCATTATTTTAAATTATTCCGTTTATCTAATGTCGTTTACATAGATTTCTAATCATATGTTTTTTACGATAACACATTTTAAACTTTTGTTCAAGTGGCAAAGAATGAGTTTCGTGCTTCTGTAAGATGGGTTCTGCGGAGGCCAAACACTTTTCCTAAACTAGACGGTCTATAGGACTACATAATCCAATAGAAAAAGAAGCCAATTAAAATTCATCGTTACTCTCTGTCGATGCAGCCTAGGAGGAGACTTATAACAAAAACGTATGTAAGATAAGCGTTGCCGATGCCAGAAGTGGAATAAAGTACCCTAAGACGAATTGCAAAAAATGTAAATTTACTAAGCATAATCAACTTATCAGTTGTATTTGTAAACCAGTAATCTAAAACGAAGGCTACTACTAGCAAATGTGACGAGTCAGTGGTGTTAAATTGTGTCACATCGTTATGTAAAAAAATTCTATCGCGAATTTTAATACTGCTATAGAGTCAGAGATTACAAACTCTAATCTTACTTTGTTTTAAGAAGTTTTCGTCTACATTATAGGTTTAGGTGTTTATTTTTAGAGGCAATAATTTCATTCAAAATCAAACCGTATCTTAAAAGGTAAGACGACGGGTTTTTTATGGATCGACCTGACCTTGTTAGTGTTTAAATATCATAGGCCAGAACAATTTTTTTTTTATGAAAGCGTACTTCTCTGTTGTTCGTGAATGATTGATTATACGATAAATGAATAAAATTGTGTAAGCCTACAAAAATTATAAGTGCCGTAATTACTGGTGGCAAGGTGTTTTGTGAGCTGATACGGGTATGTACCATATCCACCCTGGCTGTATTGGCCGCGAAAAAATTATGCGTTCCGATTTGAAGGGTGAAACAGCTATTATACTGTACCTACAATGGAGACTACGATCTCATATTTTAAGGTGGGTGGCGACATTCATGTTGTGATATGTGCTCCAGTAACAGCTTAACACCAAATGGTCAGTAAGTTACTGCGGTTGCTTTTATTACTAGTGGTAGGACCTCTTGTGAGTCTGCACGGGTAGGTACCACCATTCTGCTTATTTCTGCCATGAAGCAGTAATGCGTTTCGGTTTGAAGGGTGGGGCAGCCGTTGTAACTATACTGAGACTTTAGAACTCATGGCCTAAAGGATAAGACGTCCAGTGCGTTCGTGTTGAGCGATGCACCGGTGTTCGGATCCCGCAGGCCGGTACCAATTTTTCTAATGAAATACGTACTTAACAAATGTTCACGATTGACTTCCACGGTGAAGGAATAACATCGTGTAATAAAGATCAAGCCCGCAAAATTATAATTTGCGTAATTACTGGTGGTAGGACCTCTTGTGAGTCCGCACGGGTAGGTACCACCACCCTGCCTATTTCTACCGTGAAGCAGTAATGCGTTTCGGTTTGAATGGTGGGGTAGCCGTTGTAACTATACTGAGAACTTAGAACTTATATCTCAAGGTGGGTGGCGCATTTACGTTGTAGATGTCTATGGCCTCCAATAACCACTTAACACCAGGTTTGCTGTGAGCTCGTCCACCCATCTAAACAATAAAAATAAAAAAAAGATGACACACACATCTATGCAATAAATAAAAATAAAACGCGTCAGGCAGAACAGTTTAAAATCATAACATATAACCAATAAATGAAGCAGTTTTACGTCGTAGATGTCTATGGGCTCCAGTAACCACTTAACACCAGGTGGCCTGTGAGGTCGTCCACCCATCTAGCAACAACAAAAAAACATTAGTGTTGTATTGGCTTTTTTAATTTAGAATAGTTTCTAAAGACCAGTGCCCATTTTTAAATCGTTTGTCCATATATATTTTCAAGTACTGATAGTGGGTGGCCGAGACGCATTTCCCACAGTCACAGCCCACTGAGTTTCTCCGCCGGATCTTCTCAGTGGGTCGTGTTTCCGATCCGGTGGTAGATTCTACGAAGCACGGCTCTTGCTAGGGTTCGTATTAGCAGCAACGTCAGGTTTGAGTCCCGCGAGCTCACGTACTAGTTCGGTGAATCTAGAATAACCCCTCGAGGTTACTAGAATAGGTAGGGAAAAAAAAGAGACGCGCTTGTCCGGTTTTATTTTCGACTGATTGGCCGTTAGTCGATTTTTTTTTCTTAACTGAAACTAGAACCAGTTTGTCTGTTAGCAAAGCGAATCGTGACATTCACGTTGAGTATAAATAATATGGGTTTTTGATAACTGTATAACAGTTCGTTTGCGAGGTTGCCTGTTAATTAACGTTGATAAATAAATCTGTTGATAATTGTTTTGTAATCTTATACATTCAGCTTATTGGATAATTTTCACTTTGAGACTTAATTGGAATAAACTGGAAATCGATTGAAGTTGCTATCTTATCGTCCATTATATTAATATTTTAATAGCCTAATGACCAATGAGATTTATATCAATTACCTAATTAGTACAATCCTATGATTTTTATTAAGGATTTTCAGTGTTCCATGGACAATTCAGAGAAAAAATGCTACTTTCTTCCTGTTCGTTCGTTCTTGCGTCGGAAATTTAATACATAATTTATTTTACTACATTATTACTTAAAATTACTTTGTATTGTTTGCTCAGATAAAATTGGAAAGATGCACTTTATGTGTGGTGTATGTGTGTATTCTATAAAAAAAGGACGTTAAAATTACTTTATTAAAAAAAATGTTGTTCCATACATTGTCTTTATACGAGTGATAGATACTTCACCGACCCAGTAGAGGGCAACGCAAATCCGCCGTCACTTGAAACATGTTTTGTCGGAGCCACTCTCGGTGCTTTCAAGCTCCTCAAGCACCGGTCACCGCCCTCGTCGAACTTTTTACTGGTGGTAGGACCTCTTGTGAGTCGCTAGTAGGCTCTCGGGGTTCAAACCGGAGGTGTTGCTAACACTGACCCTAGCAAGAGCAGTGTTTCGCAGAATCTACCACCGGATCGGAAACGCGACCCATTGACAAAGTCCGGCGAGAAACTCAGTGGGCTGTGTCTGTGGCTTAACTTACCCGCAGAGCCCTTCGTCGCAAGCGACGGTTTCGGCGAGGACGGTAACCGGTGCTTGAGGTACCTAAAAGCACCGTTAATGGGTCGGGAGGATCCGTGATGACGTCTGATTCGTATGTGAGCGAAGCTGGGATAGCCTCTTAGGCTACCAGAGACCGCGCTGCCGTGGACATTATTGTAGTCGTGAAGGATTCTGTTTAAGAAAGACTTAGGCAGCCAGATTCGAGCGACTTTTTTGTAAAGGTTTAAATTTATTCTTTCTTGACAAGCACTTACGGACAGATATTTTTATCTGGATCAGGGGATTGGGGGTGTCGTTTATTAGATGGATTAATTCAAATTAATTATAAAATAATTATCTTAAATTTAAATTAATTAATTTAAATCATATAATGGAGTTCAAAAGAAAATAAAAAGACAAATTTTCTTATATAAAATTATTTATTACAAAAATATTCTGTGCTAATTATTAATTGATTTCAATCTTCAATAATTTAAAGGTCATTTCATTTTATTAATTAATATCTATTTAAATGTATGTGTTTAAATGACAAACATAAGTTAATTTCCACAAACAACATTAATTTTAAAATATTTTAAACGAACAGGTACGCCACATATCACGCTGTCTATTATCTTATGATAATGTACAAATACATATATATATATTTTTATTAATATGGAAATATTCATAACAATTTAGACTTTTATTTTACGCGGATCGTTGATATGATGATTGTATTAACTTTGTTTAAAACTGTATCGGCAATTGGCATGCAGACATTTTTACCTTATTATTATTACATTAGTAGGAAAGATGACAAAACTGAATATAAGTTACCAAGGTGCACTGAAATCATGATATGGATATATAAAGTCCAGTAGTTGCACAGGGATGGATCATACTATATGTCATAAAAAATATGACTGTTTAATGTTGAGAGAATGTTTTTAAAATGTGAGAGAATGTTTTTAAAATATAATTAGAACTGCATTTCAATACACTGTCTGTCTGTGGGTCAAACTGGGAATAGAACAAGATTTTTTTAATTAAAAACATGAATCCTTTTAAATTTTGAAGTCTGAATAGACTTGTGGCGCTACCTAACGGCTACCAGAGAAACATGAGAATTTCACGGAACGGTATTTTTAAGGTTTGGTTGTGTGTTTTCATTATGCAACAGTAAATATTTACTATTAAAAATAGATTATATGTGATGACAATATCGAATTGAACATTAAACTGACGTCGAAATTAATAATAATCATAGTTATGAAAGAAAAAAAAGTAATATAAGCTGTAACATAATGTGGTCACTTATCACTGTCGCTTAAGTGTATCCTTTATTTTTTATCGAAGATAAAGTTTTTTGGTGTTCTTTCCTTCGTTTTTAGATAAATAAATTATAAAAAAAATATATTGGGTCATCATCACATTCGCATACATTCTCACCATTCACTGAAGTTATTATACTACTTACATTTTTACATTGAATTTTTTTTTATGTGATGATTTAATATAGGGAATATACATTACAATATTGGTAGGTCAGTATTGCTTTTTTTTTATTGCTTATATGGGTGGACGAGCTCACAGCCCACCTGGTGTTAAGTGGTTACTGGATCCCATAAACATCTACAACGTAAATGCGCCACCCACCTCGAGATACAAGTTCTAAGGTCTCAAGTATAGTTACAGCTGACTTACGTACGCGAAGGCTCACTCACCATCAGCTGGGCCGCCTGCTTGCCAGCCTGTAGCTGAAATATATAGCTTCGCGAATGCGGCGACATGAGAAACCAGGATAACATAGGCCCGAATTGGGTAAGCGATTATCCAAAAACTTTTATAGTGTGTTTAACAGAACTGTGTAATTTCGTTTATTTCGTTTTACAAAAATCCTATTTTAAGTACTTATTTTATATAAGACACTGCTTTTATCTTAGGCTATATTCTGACTTAATCGTTCAGTTATTAAATAACTAGCGACCCGCCCTCGCTTCGTTTCGGAAACTGTAATTTATTATTGATTTCTCCACTGTTATTGTACAACAAATTTCGATACAGCTTTCAAAAAAGTGTTTTATTTTATATATTACAGTTTGTCCATAAGAGCTGTTGCGTACAACACAATCCACAACACAAAATGCATTGGGAATTACCCCTTATTAATTTAATAGAATATTTAAGTATTTCATAAATTATAAAGGATTATTATTATAGATTATTTGTTTTATACTTCTCATTGCAGAGCCGCTAATTATTACAATACTAGCGACCCGCCCTCGCTTCGCTTCGGAAACATGAAATTTTATTATTGATTATTTACGACATCACATTAGAAACCTCAAAAATAACAGTATTTCTTCACTATTTAATGGATGTTATTATACATATAAACCTTCCTCTTCAATCACTATCTATTAAAAAAAACCGCATCAAAATCCGTTGCGTAGTTTTAAACATTTAAGCATACATAGGGATTTAGGGACAGAGAAAGCGACTTTGTTTTATGCTCTGTAGTGATTGAGAGCACCAACCGATTAAGATTTGAAATTTTGAAAGGGTGTAGATTTTTGTGCGTACCATGGAATTTCAAGAAATTAAAGGTGTACCTAATAAATAAATAAAAGTTCATTAAATATATGCTATGTGTATTCATTAATTTGAAAAAAAAATTGTAGTAAAATACCTTAATTTATGCTTCCAAATTGAGTATTCATTGAGCTATAAAGTTGTAATTTCACAATACCAAACGATGAAACATGCATTAGTTTTAGGCCTTTTTGTTAATGTATTCAAACATTGTTCATTGTTAATAAAAAAATACGGCGTAGGTACCTTTATCACAAGTTAACAGTATCATTGATTTATTAAAAATTACATTTTGTTACCTGAATGTGACCCAGGTGGCTCATCACCGAAACAATGCTTATGTGTTGGATCTTTGTAAGAATTCTCATGCAATACACTATATGAGCTTGTTCTACACTTTGTAAGGCATAGTTCATAGTCATCTGTTAATGAGCGGAAGAGAATGCTCTTCTCTGTTGAAAGTTTTGATAAGACTATCTCCAGCATGTGCCTCTGTGAAATGAAATGTCTTTTTTTTAATATCACTAAGTAAATAAACATATTGCAAATGTTAATTTTAAACCTTTCCTAAGACTTCTTAAAGAACATTGGTAGCTGTTATTAATATCCATTAGTAGTAGTAAAGTTCAATGTGATGTACATTTAACTCTATTGTATAATGGCTGTCACATCTTTTAAATTGGAATGCATTAGTTTTTTGGGGCAGAAATGGGCAAGGTGATGGTATCTACTTATATGCGTTCACAAGACAAGAGTGTCGGGTATAGTAGGGACTATCAGTTTTAAGCAAATTTAATTTGTATTACATTATAATATAGCTTCATCATGGAAGTCATTCATGAGCATTGTGTTAACTATGTATTTCTTAAGAGGAGATGCTGCGCCAATTCCACATAATGGGATAAGGGCAAGAACAAGAAGTGTTTAGTTTGTATTTAATTATGAAAATTAGTACATATTTGCTTATGGGATTTGAAGACCAACATAGTCACATGTTTCAATAAAATATTAGGCATCATATTCTTTGGACTATAATGACATTGATTCTAAGTAGCAATTTAACTCTTATCAGGTTGTCGTGAAAACAAATACTCGATATTCATAATATTATATTATTTAGTCTTGGTTGTGTAGCAACATGTAAATATAATGTTTAATCTATATATTACCTTGCCTGGATCTAAGCAACATGATACACAATGTTCATATTCAACGCAGCAACTGCTTTTACTACAAGATTCACAGCTGTACCGTTCTGTGAAGTCAGCTTCTGGGTCGCAGCAACCATTTTTCGTTACATCTTTTCTTTGACATACATACCCTGAAAAAACAAGATCATATCTTATTATTAGTTCACATTCTCTTTTTTTTTTAGTTTATTATTATTCACTTGCTAAGTGAGACTCGGATCTTAAGAAAATACATAATAATATATGTATTGAAAACATAATGTTTTTTTTTTGTTTTGCCATTTTTGATCATATGTTATGTTATAGAAAGTTATGCAGAGGTTATTTAGATAAGTCCAAAAATAATCTAGCACAAAATCATGTAGTACAGCATACATATTCCTGCATTAATATTGCCATTACTGTCAAGACTAATCCAGAACAGCATGTTTTCAAATGACATAATAGATTATAGGAGATTCTTCTTAAGTTTTTAAGGTCCAAGGGGAATTTTGTGTAGTAGAATAAAAATATATTTTTTCTATTATAGTCGGCATTGAGAAGATATTTCAACATTGGTGTTAGTTTTATCTGGTGAGAGAGTCCTAAAATAATTGGCTATCACAAACTCATTCCTCATAAAATCTAGTCCATTATAAAATTATTATAACTTGATTATTTATTGACAATTGAAATTATGAGATTTTTATTAATATCGAGCCTGAGTATAGTTATGAGAGCATGTAAATAAATCCTGATACTTCTTCAATACTACATTTGAAAACTGAATAATCTAAATTTGTACATACCTCTGTCATCAACAAGAAAGTTTTTTCCTTGTACTGAGTTCCTGCAGATCACATGGTCATTTGAATCATTATGTTCTTGAAGTGTTCTCCACACAAACGGTTTTCTTTCTATTGATATGTCTTGGTATGTCACATCTCTATGGTTACCCTGGAAAAATCATTAAAAAACTCATACAATGAATTGTAAAATTAATTTGTGACAATATGTTGTAAGGTAATGTTTTGTAATAATGAAAATCAAACTAAAATACACACTTTTTTATAAGTGAGGGCTTGTGAATACAACTGGTATAACCTGGTTATGCACTGTCATTTGTCACCAAAATAGGTTTCTCTAGACTATAGAAACCAGAGACCGATGTAAACATCCATACAAAGAGAAAACAAACCTGTTCATCATTAGAAAGTTTGCCAGATATGGGTATTGAATTCACAATCCTCACTAGAACAGCCAGAGGCTCCAACTACTGCACCAAATCAGATGGTATATATATCAGAATATGTTTTATATGTTATTATACATATATGTCTATGGCTAGATATAGTATAGTATCAGATAAAGGAATATTGATTACACTTTTACTTATTTGAGGTGATTAATGGGTAAATAAAATCCCCAGGCACAGANTGGGTATTGAATTCACAATCCTCACTAGAACAGCCAGAGGCTCCAACTACTGCACCAAATCAGATGGTATATATATCAGAATATGTTTTATATGTTATTATACATATATGTCTATGGCTAGATATAGTATAGTATCAGATAAAGGAATATTGATTACACTTTTACTTATTTGAGGTGATTAATGGGTAAATAAAATCCCCAGGCACAGACAAAGAATGATCTTTTTATAACATCTTTATATTTAGTTACAATGACAAAACAAGAAAGTGGGAACATTACAGCAGTAAACTATGGCGTTCAAGTTTTTTTATTTTTTTTTGGTGGACGAGCTCACATACCACCTGGTGTTAAGTGGTTACTGGAGCCCATAGACATCTACAACGTAAATGCCGCCACCCACCTTGAGATATGAGTTCTAAGAGTCTCAGTATGGTCAGAACCGCTGCCCCACCCTTCTAGACGAACTGCATTACAGCTTGACAGCAGAAACAGGTAGGGAGGTAATACCTACCTGTGCGAACTCACAAGAGGTCCTACCACCAGATAGTTGGTATTTCAAATTTATTATTTGTTTCATCAGTTTCAATATACAAAAAGTGTGAGATTGTCTACCATAAACTAATGTTGATTTTCAGAAGAAATCTTTTGAGATTTAAGATATTCAGATGAAATATTTTAAGATTTAAAAGTAAATACGGGAATGGAAAGTTTTATACTAACCTCTTTTAGAAAACTGACAATGCAGTAAGTCAGTGAAGATGCGAATATGATACCGAGCACTAGTCTTCTTCTGATAAACCGAATTAAAGCTGCGTACCACATTCTAAATATCAAATGAGAGCTCTTTTTGTGAAACAATAAACCGTAATTAGCGAAACACGGAGACCAAATAATACACATTGTTTTTATATACCGTAGTAGATCAAAGGTGACATTTTCCCAGAACATGTTCATCAAGTGTTTTCATTTTGATAGTATTTTATGAATTCTAACTGTAAACTATTTCAACAGGCATTATTAAAACAAGATCATGGCCCTTGAAGTCAGCTCATGTTATTAAAAGATAATTTTGTCTAATGTACTGATAACACGTACAATTGTTTGTGTTGTGTTGTGTTTGTTTTTTATGACGGTATAAAGGTAGTAGGTAAGTAATTCAATCCAATAGATTCGTATATAATGTGAAAAATTAATCTCCCCAGTTCTTCAAGATATTTTGATTTTTGGGTTGACAATGACAGTTTGTCAGTTAATAAAATGAGTAAAAGTTTCATTTTTAAAATACATAAAGCCGAAAGGATCACACCATACAGCATAATCTTTGACTTTTACCAGACGAAAGCATGCTTTAGATTAAATGTAAAATGAAGCGAACAGAAATGGAATTGAATTAGATGAGATAAAATGAAATAAACGACTTAACGTTTCAATAAAATAGTAAACATTTGATAAGAATTGAATAGACTTTTTGGGAGAACCCGTGGAAGCTATTTTAGGTCTAGCGCCTTTGCTTTATTTTCCACATTTGTGAACTACAGACCCTAAATGCAGATGAAAATATCGTAATCGTCGAAAATATGTAAATATAATGATGATAAATCCTGAGGAAACACTTAATGAACAAACTAAAAATATCCACACAATTTCAAGTAACTCAATTTAGTTTCCCAAAAATTTGAATTATGCGAAGAATAACATGAACAAAAGGTACTAAGATTTAACTTAAGTTGTTGAAGATCTAACGGTGCTAGTAGCTCTTAATTATGTATCTAAACATATCCACGAAGAAAAAAAATCGCTCCATAGAATAAAAAAATATTACAATGGTAGAAGTTTAATCTCATTGATTTTTTCGAAAATTCTAGTTGCCATATCCAGAAACTCGCGTCTAGAATCGCGACCTACTAAGAAGATCCAGTGAGAAACTCATAGAGTAAGATCCCAGGGCCCCCAGACGTCACGTATTTTCTGACGAACGAAATGTGGCCGATTGCGTAGTGTTAGTATGTACTAAGAACGCATGCCTACCTTGCTTAGACGGCTAATTTTCAGGTAACAGGTACTCAAGGTACATAAAATCATGACCTACTTCACGTATTTTCTGAAAGCTGATTTTTACGTATATTTTAGGCAATATACTTAAAAATAAGTCGCCTTTACTCCCAGACACTTTCCGTCGGCCGAACTGCTTTGCAGACGCTTTAAAGCTCCCAAAATAATGACCTAGTTTCACGTAAATTCTGAAAGGTGATTTTTATATATGTCCACCAGACAACTATTTTGGTCCGTGTGCTCGTCTGCCTGCAAGGGTAATAAAAATTTTTTTATACGAAATCGAAAAAAATCATTGCATATAATTATATAGGGCCAATTCCCATATATAATTTGATTAATTATTTACCTGATTATTCAATTTTTGGCTGATTAATTATTTACCTGATTATTTAATTTTTGGCAGGTAAACGGTACTAAAGACACCGATCTAAATATCATTCATCATAGATAAAATATTATTAAAAATCACGTCATTCATTGCCGGACTTAACCCCTTGCCAGACAACCTTAATGTTCATGAAATTATAACTCTACTTCCGTTCTAGTATAAAAGCTGGTTTTTATATATAAAACTTGGGCAATACTCGCAATTAGGTAATGTTTCCTCATTAGCCAGACATTCTTGATAATTCCAACTACCTACTTGCTACACAAACATGTAGGGTAGCTATAGGAGCGAGCGCGAGGCAGTATTTATATGAGTTATTTCTACTGTGCTTGTATTGTTTAGTACTTACTACATGTTTATGTACGTCTAGGGTTCACTGGTTCAGACTAGTAGGTTGTAAGTCATAAGCACATAAGAAATAGACAATTGAGTCAAATTTGTTATTATAAAAAAAAAATTAAAAAAAGTGCCCTTTATACTTCCAAAAAGTGCAAAATTTCCGATCAGTAAGCTGAGCTTATGGCCCACATGATCTTGAACAGTCATCGTCACTCATAGATGTAAGCAATGTCAGAGGCACAGCCAAGTCATTGCGTACAGCCGAGTACTCTCCGAAAACCTCGTTTTAAGAAGGACATGTCGCAGCATTCGGGAAGCACGTCCAGCAGCCAAAGCTAGAGTAGGCTATGATGACGATCTTAAAAGGTCTTTTAGTTTATGTAATGTTTGGGTTCTTTTATAAATGACAAACGTTACGATTGGGTTTACATTTTTACTTTGATAATCACAATTATTCAGTTTTTACTTGCGTGTAACATGTACGTCGTAGACAATATGGCGGGGCAATCATAGAGTATGTTTCGTAGAGTGGTCAGCAAAGATTAATATTATGAGAATCGACATTAGGTCGCATATACATTACAGTTTACTTTCCTGATGGCTTAAGTAAAAAAGTTAAAAAAAGTACCTACATAACACTGAGAGCAATAATGAGAAAAAAAATGAGGCAAATCCAAGCACCCATCGCGTGAGTACGTGCTTAACGGTTGAACGACTGTTCGATCGCCCGACCGCGGTTCGTGGCACATCTGGCGTCCAAGTGTTTTCTCGGAAGTGACTACCTGTGCTAATTGTGTCGCAATGCCACGTGTGAGCGGTCGGACCTATGAATTCCTGGAATAGCCCATTTAGGTACAGCAAAATCCCGGGGCCACCAGAAGTCACGTGATGAATGAAATTTGGACGAATTAGTGTAAATAATATATGTACTATTATCCCATGCCTACCTATAAGCTTGTTCAGAAGGCCATCGTCCAGGTATCAGGTAATGAAGGTGCACAAAGAAATTGCTTACCTCACGTCAATTCTCCAAGCCGATTTTTACGTATATTATAGACAATGTAGATAAAAAATAAAAATAAGCTGTGAATATTCCCGCAGACGCAAGCGCTTCTACGACTTTGTTCCTGCGATATTAGGGTTTTCGGAGTATTGATCAAATATTATACTTGCAGATAGTCCATATTGTATTTAATTTTGTACAATGACATATTCAACATAGTTCTTATGAATATTGTTCAAAAACGAATTCTGATCCAAAAGCAATTCTCGTAAATGTACACTCAGATTAGAAATTATTGTAAAATTAATCATATTCTAAGTTTTGTGGTGGGGAAAAGGGTTGATAATAAATGAGTAATAAGTAGTAATAATAAAGCAATCTTAAGAAAATTATAAATTATTTGAAAACCAAAAATATATATGTATGTAATAGAAAACTAAGCGTAATGTTTCGTTTTTATTCTATTCTTACGAGTATTGAAGAACCTGATCAACCTCGGAGTGCTGTAACACCCAAATAAATTAATGAAATTAAACAAATTTATAGTGGATATTATTCGTTAAAAACCGTCTAAAGATTGCTCTGATTATTTTACTGTAACATGACCACAAAAAAGTTTAAGAGTAATATGGATGTCAAAACATCCACATTATAAATATAGGCATGTTGTAAAAAAAATATGGGACGAAATAAAACAATTTCCTGGTAGTAGTGGTTTCCTAGATATTCTTGGGTTGGATTATTGAAAATCTGTTCTTTTGATTTGCGTATGCTATTGTGAATATTGGAATCTCCAAACTGGAAAAAAAGCTTCTGAAAATCGGCATCTCTGTCTCAATCTCTTTCTCTTATAATATTGTGTAACAGGCACGAAATCTTTATAATCAATGTTACGCGCTTTTTGTTTGCCTCTATACTTTTCGTAAAAATACGAAATTCATTAGTTAGAATACCAAACGTGCACTCAATTGTGACTCTTTCCCAGGACAATTTTTTGTTGAAAATTCTTTTGTCCGCAATTAAACCATCCGATGGATATGGGCGCATCAAATAATTTTTAAAAGGTTAGGCTTCATTGCCAATCATCACGTATGGTAATTTGAACCAGGTAACCTCTGTGACGGTGGAATATTGAATCTATTTTCTATTACTAATCTATTTATCGGGATAGTTTCTATATTCCTGATAAAGATTGTAAAATTCGCCATTTTTTGTGGTTAGCTGGGTGCGCTCCTATTCTTGACTGAATTATATCTTCAGTTATGAATGCACTTGTTTCAAGGCAAAATCGAGCTACTTTTGATAGGGGCATTTTAAAGCGTTCTCTAAATACATGCACCACTGACGCCACCGCAGACGCAAATAGTCTAGCTGTGGCATACCATCGCAAATCACGCCGCCCGCTGCGCCTCCCAACGCACTGCGCAATGCACCACCAGAAACTGCCGGGCCCTTAAGATCAAACGCCTACAGAACAATATCATCGAGATATATGAAGCAAAGGGACCCCTGGAGGTCTGTGAGACCTGTCATCAGTCATCAGTCATTTATCAGTCGTTAGAATGTGGACAGGGCAATTTTTTACCGAAGGGCATCCGGTTAAACTGGATATGCCTCTGGGGCACAGAGAAGGCTGTTTTGGGTGCATCTTCTGGCTTTATTAAAAGTTGGTGAAATCTAGAAAAGAGATCGAGGGTGCTGAAGTATTGACTTTCCCTAATTGGTCGATGTTTTCAGTAATTTAAGGGATTGAACAACTTCACCGATAATTATGTCATAGAGTTTCCTTGTCGATGACTATACGCCATTTCTTTAAGCCGGAAGTATTCGTGTTTTTGAGAATGACTCACATGGGGAGGATCAAGGAGAGGAAAATGGAGTAATGATATCTTGGTCTAACATTTTGTCGACTTAGGTTTTTACTTCTTGTTTTTGACACTACGGGAAGCGGTATGACTTAATATGGTTTGGAGTATCGTAAGTAGTTTTGATTTCGTGTTCGATGATTGGAGAAGAATATAAGGAATATAAGGGTTCGTAAGGTAGGTGAAATATGTCGGAGTATTTTGAATATAGGTTAAAAAGGGCACCACTGTCTTCTCGGTTTACATGAGATGTTCTTCGAAAGTCTAGTACTTTTTCGGATCGTTCAGTTACACTTTCGACGTTCAGGAGAAATTGTATTGGATAGGTCTCTGTTGGATCTATTTTTAGTTTAAGATTAGGTTTGATTTTATGTTAAGGTTAATGATTGAGATGTTTAATCTTTTATTCTCTTTTACTTTTACAAAACAATTAGCTATAAGGATTGTTCTTGATAGGTACTGGTCCACTATGGTGCTTACTTTTAATTCTGGTTTTACTAAAGTGCATTCGATAACTGTCTCTGTGCGTGGAGGAAAGATCATTGATCGAAGAAATGTACACTCCAGGTCACATCTATCGGCCCACATAGTGTTTTAAGTTTTCATGGTCCCTAGCTAAAATAAATGTTACATGGAGCAATAAATTTTTATGAAGTTTTGAAGCTGATTTATTAATGAACCCTTTTCTTTTTCTGGCCGATGGCCGAACCTCCTACGAGGTCCCCGCACCTAGGGGACCGGCCGTAGTCCTGCAAGGGTCTCCGCTCCTCTTTAGTTTGTTTATTAACGACATTCCGCGGTCGCCACAAACCGCCGCAGACAGAGACACGACTGTTTACTACTCGAGTAGAAACAAGTCCCTAATCACGAGGAAACTCCAGAGCGCNAACCCTTTTCTTTTTCTGGCCGATGGCCGAACCTCCTACGAGGTCCCCGCACCTAGGGGACCGGCCGTAGTCCTGCAAGGGTCTCCGCTCCTCTTTAGTTTGTTTATTAACGACATTCCGCGGTCGCCACAAACCGCCGCAGACAGAGACACGACTGTTTACTACTCGAGTAGAAACAAGTCCCTAATCACGAGGAAACTCCAGAGCGCAGCCGTAACCCTCGAATAGTGGTTCCGAAAATGGCGCGCAGACATAAACTCAGCGAAAAGCACAGCGGTGCTATTTCAAAGCGGAATTCAACGTGTATTTCTTCCCGTATTAGGAGGAGAAATCTTTCTCCCCCGATCCCTCTTCGGCCAATCAATACGCTGGGCCAGGAAGGTCAAGTACCTGGGAGTCATCTTGGATGCATCGATGACATTTCGCGCGCGCAAAAAATCTGTCCACATACTACGCGTTACATTCGCGAAACAGCTACTCTTGAGTTCTTTGTTAGGTTTCCTTTGGAGGCACTCTGCTAGCTTTTCACAAGTCCTACCCTTCCTGGCTAAGCCGTTGCTCGCCCACCTGTCTTGGTGAAACTGGAAAGGCTCCGGGTCAATGCAATGATAGTTTACAGCGCTCCCTGTTTGGTGCCGGGCCGCGGAGCGCGAAAACGTGTCGGCGTTGCGACATCCTCAACGAGCGACCGTGGTCAGGATCGATATCGAGGATACCGCACTTTCTCCTACGAGGCGGCGTGCCTACTCGCGCAGGAGCCTGGAGGCAGAGGCGCTCGCTGCTGACTACAGGTGGCGTACCACTGTCTGGTTGAAGTGTTGACCGTGGTAGTCCCCTTATCTCATCCGAGTTCGTACACTCAGCACAATATTCAATCCTCGAAATTTGAAATCCGAAATAATGAAATGAAAACAAAATTTCCATATTAAATCGTAGTTTTCAATTTCTTTGATTAACGCTTTACGTGACCGTTGTGCTGATTTCTTCCTTGTTCAACTGTGTCTCGGTGACTGGCAATTTTTCTGATGTATTTTCCAATCATAGGCCTAAAATCGAAGTTTAAATTTACATCATACCGCTTCAAAGAAACGCATTACTGCTTCATGGCAGAAATAGGCATGGTGGTGGTACATCCCGTGCGGAGTCACAAGACGTCCTACCATCAGCAAGTACGCAAATTATAATTTATGCGGATTTGATTTTTATTACACGATGTTATTCCTTCACCATAGAAGTCAATCGTAAACATTTGTTAAGTACGTATTTCATTACGAAAAACTGGAACCTGCCTGGGGGATTCGGACACCGATGAATCGCTTGATACGAATGCACCTGACGTCTTATCCTTCAAGCCACGACCACTTCATGTGTATTTTAATGTTGTATAATTTGTCCTAAAAGCGGTAGGCAGCGGCTTGGCTCTGCTCCTGGCATTGCTGAAGTCCATGGGCGACGGTAACCACTCACCATCAGGTGGGCCGTATGCTCGTCTGCCTACAAGGGCAATAAAAAAAAAAGTGCGTGCGTACAAAGAACACAATGACATGTCAGAAGTGAAACTTCTTTGGCGAACTAATTTAATTTATAAGTCTTGCTTATATTTATACAAATCTAAAACTTTGGATTTCCGAGACTTCGAGGAAGGGAAAAAGGAAAGATATGTAAGGAATTTAATTGTCATTAAAATATTACGCGTTGAAAATTAATATAACATATAAATTTAATTTTTAATTTATTTCTTCAATATTTACATTAGTCGACGCGATTTCTATTGGTATTGTTGTGACTAAAGTATTATGAACGTCACGCAGGTATGCAACTGAAGTGTCGAAATTTTTTAATACAGCGCCATCTATGAGATTTTTTAATACTGACGTGCGTATGATACCTCTTGTACTGAATTTCAATCAAGGATTATAGGTGACGTTAAAATATCGATTCACAGAGGGCGCTATCTCATACTATAAAAGATGATTTACAATTATTTACTAATGACAAAATTTTACATATACTTAGACATTTAAAATAATTGTTTTTTAATTTTTGAAGGTTTCACTTCTAACACGTGTGAATTGCACACATGTTTCTTTTGTATTATTATTATTAGCATTAATAATATTTGATGACGTTTGAAAATCTTCAATAATGTTTTCTGAAAGATTTGTCAATGATTTTTTTTTCTTGCTCTAAACTCACGAACACGTTCTCTTGAAGTTTTATTTTTTTCAATTAGTAAAGTCGAAGTCGAAGGTTGAGAATTTTCATGTTCTTGATGTACTTCAACTTCAACAGTGATTCGCGTCAAATCATTTGACTCTTGATTTTCTTCATATTTTTGTCTTTTTCGAGCTCTGTAGTCACGACTACGCTCTGCTGGAGTTTTTGGTTTAGTTTTTGTAATGATGAACGATGAGATATTCAACCCTTGGCTAGCTGCATTTTTTAAAGCCCTTTTCCGCTCTCTACATTCACGTGAACGTTCTGTTGATGTTTTACCTCGCCGTCTAACAGATATATTATTTTTAAGTGTTTCACATTCTCGCACCACAATTTTTGGCATTGCGATCTGAAAATGAAAAGTTATTTGAATTTAATATTTAATAAAAATAATTAAAGAGAATTATTAAATTACATTTATTTTATATTGTTTGAAAAATAATATAGTAATATCTCAGATGTTGAATATTAAATTAAAATTCCTTGTGATTTTTTGTAAATAATAAAAATACCTGAACCCAATTTAAATTTATACAAAATCATTGTAAATTAATGATAACTATAGAAATTCCAGTTCTTAAATTAAAATTTCGTCAAGAGAATTTATGAAATATTGTTAGTCAAAACCGTTTACTACGACATCGTTTAATACAACATGCCGGTTATAATAACCTAGAACAAAGGTCCCGGCTGAATGCCATATGACCGCCTTATTAAAAATATTGCTTTCTACGACATTGGTAATAACGACATACCTCATAAAACGACCACATTTAACTAATATTTCGGAGAATTCGATCTGTTAGAACGACCGGCTAAGTTGTATTGTAAACAATTTGAATAGGTATCCACATTTGTCTTCAATGGCTATTAAAATCAGGAGAGAAAACAATAGGGTTTAGTTTAGTGTAGGGTCTTTTCTAATTCATAAAAACAAAACAAGTGCATGCGGTAGAGTCAAAGCCCGCTTCTTCATATCTCTTCAGTTAGTTTGTTACTTATCTATACAGAAGACGCACCAAAACTTTGAATGATGGTATCAATGCTGTTAGTGTATTAAGAAAGATTGATCTTTTTAATGAACAGTTCCATGTCAACATCAATTACGACGATACGTTAATTAAAATCCAACGTGAATTACAAAATATCTATGCACAACAGAAGTGTTCCAAACAGACCAAAATTACAGATTTTATGCTCACAGAAAAATTATATGCATTGTACTTATGTGTAATAAACAAAATGTACATAGGTGAATAAATATATTTTTCAAATAATTCCCTATCGATTTGTTTGTACTTGCACGATACACATTAAACATCACCGGTTGTTACGACTATCGGTTTTTACGACTGAATATGAGCAGTCCCTTCGATGTCGTTATAACAGATTTTGACTGTATTTATATTTTATGCAAAATGATTTATTGAAATCTCAAATGACGAATTGTAAATAAAAATGCCACGTGTTTTTTGTCAATATTAGAAATTATTAATTAAATTTTGTTTTTGAACTTAAAATTTAGAAAAGCGAATTTATGAAATATTTTTATTTTATGGAAAATGATTTATTAAATTATTAACTGACGAATGGCAAGTTGAAATGCCACATGTTATTTGTAAAAATTAAAACTACCTAACCTTCAAACCAATTAGCATAAAAAATTGTAAATAAACAAAAATAAAACAGATAATATATTACTTACTTCGAATAACTGCTGAGTATACGACGACTTACTTATCACAAAATTTTATTCATAAAGTTTATTTATAAATTTAATTCACTTTATACACTGTATAAGTGCTAATAATATTGTAAATAGATGAAAAATCTGCGTTTACTGCGAATGACGTTATGCGACAGAATTGCCATCTAAAGTTCTAATAATTAACTAGTAAACGAATACACAAACCAATATAGCGTGTATTATTTCTCGATATCCCTTATTCTTGCCTTGGAAAGCAAGGGCGAGGCTCTCGCTGTGAGCCTTGACATCGCGAAGGCCTTTGACAGGGTCTGGCATAGGGCACTTCTATCGAAGCTTCCAGCATACGGGATCCCTGAGGGACTCTGCAAGTGGATCACTAGCTTTTTGGATGGACGGAGCATCGCAGTTGTCGTCGACGGCTGCTGCTCCGATACCATGACCATCAACGCTGGTGTTCCACAAGGTTCGGTGCTCTCCCACACGCTTTTCATACTGCATATCAATGACATGCTATCTATTGATGGCATGCATTGCTATGCGGATGACAGCACGGGGGATGCGCGATATATCGGCCATCAGAGTCTCTCTCGAAGCGTTATACACGAGAGGCGATTAAAACTTGTGTCTGAAGTGGAGAACTCTCTGGGGCGGGTCTCCAAGTGGGGTGAACTGAATTCAGTTCAGTTCAACCCATTGAAGACACAGGTTTGCGCGTTCACTGCGAAGAAGGACCCTTTTGTCATGGCGCCGGAATTTCAAGGAGTATCCCTGCAGCTTTCCGCGAGTATCGGGATTCTGGGGGTCGATATTTCGAGCGATGTCCAGTTTCGGAGTCATTTGGAAGGTAAAGCCAAATTGGCCTCTAAAATGTTGGGAGTTCTCAACAGAGCGAAGCGGTATTTCACGCCTGGACAGAGACTTGCGCTTTATAAAGCGCAGGTCCGACCTCGCGTGGAGTACTGCTCTCACCTCTGGGCCGGGGCTCCCAAATACCAGCTACTTCCATTTGACTCCATACAGAAACGGGCTGTTCGGATGGTCGATAGTCCTGCTCTCGCGGATCGCTTGGAACCTCTGGGTCTACGGAGGGACTTCGGTTCTCTCTGTGTTTTATACCGCATGGTCCATGGGGAATGCTCTGAGGAATTATTCGAGATGATTCCCTCATCTCCTTTTTATCATCGCACCTCCCGCCATCGGAGCAGAGTTCATCCATATTATCTGGAACCGCTGCGTTCATCGACAGTGCGTGTCCAAAGATCTTTTTTGCCACGTACCATCCGGCTTTGGAATGAACTCCCCTCCACGGTGTTTTCCGAGCGCTATGACATGTCCTTCTTCAAACGAGGCTTGCGGAGAGTACTTTATGGTAGGCAGCGGCTTGGCTCTGCCCCTGGCATTGCTGACGTCCATGAGCGACGGTGACCACTTACCATCAGGTGGGCCGTATGCTCGTATGCCTACAAAGGCAAAAAAAAAAAAAAATCTCTCTCTCGTTCAATCTTTCTCACTATAGCTCTCTCCCTACTCTCACTCCATGGCTAGTTGCTTCATGCTACGTTCGCCCTGTCTTACTCTCTCTCAATCGGTCTCGATCGCTCTCTCTTTCTTTTTCGACATTTCCGTTGCATACCTGCGTGACGTTACATCTATAAAAATTCTCTAAAGAAGTTTCTTCTTCAAAAACTCAAACTGGAAAATAAAAAGGATATTATTTACCTGACAGCTTGTACCACAATAATAAGGTCCGTAACAGTTGAAACATTTTAGATTTGTGTTCTTTAAACATACTTTACAGAATCCTCCTGTTATCAGTGATACACCAGGACTTGTAGACGTTTCAAAACTTATAGATATAGTTGGTTGGACGTTTTTATTCTGTCGTTCACCCTGTCGAAGATGAAAAATAGTCGCTAAAAAGTTAAATCAAACAAGCGGTTTCAACAAAATACGTGGAATCCACTAGGAAACAATTCGAATGAAATGTCATTAATAGAATGTCATATACAGCTTAGAGATACATCACCGAATACTAAGGATAGTGATTTTGAACATAATTGATCTCATATAATTTTCATTGAGAACTAATTTTAAATGAAAACTGTCTACAGTTAGACTATTTGTAAAAAAAAGTGGCCTGCAGTGTATAATTTTTATTGTAATTGAAAATTACTGGTCTTGCAATGTATCTAACACGTGTGACCGCATAACATCCACGATGAACGAATGGAGAGCAAAAATTAATTCAGTTTCGCGGGTACCTTGATTTGTCAAGGAGGGGAATTGGGTTGTATTTAGGATTCTTGTAATTCGTCGGCCGCGTATACGAGTAGTAACTATAGTACTGATACTTGGAACAACCTAAAGAAGGAATACGTATACTACTGCTGATTGGCAGTTAGGACAAGGTACAGCGGTGCAAGGAAATGGAACAAGCGTATCATCCATCACTACCTGGACTTTGACCTCGATGTTGGATTGGGAACTTAATTACGTTACGATAAATACGTTTTTATGAAAGTGCGAGCGGCTTCACTCTTACTACTGGGCTATTTCATGGGGTAGAACACATCAATATTTGGTTTTAGTTTTGATATAAAGCGTGGCGTTAGCAGTGGCAGTAATTTTTTTTTTGCCTTTTTTGATTAAGAATTAAGGATGCGATCACATCATCGATACTTCGGAAATCTTCGGAAGCGCTCGGCAATGGTCGGTGCATTTAGGCAAAAAAAGAAAGGGAATAAGTGTTTTTAGCAGAATTAAATTATAGATTAATCATATCCAACACGGAATAATATCGTGTAATCAAAATGAAACACGTAAAATTATAATTTGTGTAATTCCAGGTGGTAGAGCGTCTTGTGAGTCGGTACGGGTGGGTACCACCACCCCGCCAATTTTTTTTATTTTTTTAAATTTTTTTTTGTTGCCCTTGTAGGTACACGAGCGTAAGGCCCACATGATAGTGAGTGGTTACCGTCGCCCATGGACTTCAGCAGTGCCAGGGGCAGAGCCAAGCCGCTGCCTACCGTTTAATACTCTCCACAAGCCTCGTTTGAAGAAGGACATGTCATAGCGCTCGGGAAGCACCGTGGAGGGGAGCTCATTCCATATTTTAAGCCAGATACGACGAGCAGTCGTAGTTTCTGGTTTGAAGAATGGCACATTGACTGTCGTCGTGGCCTAAAGGATAAGACGTCCGGTGCATTCGTGTTGAGCGATGCACCGGTGCTCGAATCTCAGGCGAGTAGCAATTTTGCTAATGAAATACGTACACAACAAATGTTCACGATTGACTTTTACGGTGAAGGAATAACATCTTGTAATAAAAATCAAACCCGCAAAATTATAATTTGCGTAATTACTGGTGGTAGGACTGGTAATCGTTTCGGTTTGAAGGGTGGGGCAGCCGTTGTAACTTTACTTGAGACCTGAGAACTGATATCTCAAGGTGGGTGGCGCATTTACGTTATAGATGTCTATGGGCTCCAGTAACCACTTAAAACCAGGTGGGCTGTGAGCTCGTCCACCCATCTAAGCAATAAAAAAAACATGATGTGATGTCTGTAGGGTCATTCCTATATATTCTTAATACCAAGTGAGCTCGCTGAAACGTCTTAAAAGTGCTCATAAAGTTATGAATATTTTGAACATGTAAAATAAAAGTTCTCACCGATTCATCGCAAGTGTTGTCACCAGTTTGAAAATTTAGAGGTTCTGCTTTGACTTGCTGTTCATTTAGAAGTTCGATGTATACAGGATCTGTTGTTTCATTGTTATTACAAGATTGTGACCTTTGCGGATTATTTGTACGAAAAGGATGTTGATCGTGATCAACAGCATTGTAATTATTGAATGAACTTATTAATTTACTTTGATTATTTTCGTCTTGTTTAGATTGCGCATCGTAATGTACAGGAGAGTTACGGAAATGTTGGTTACTTGTATCTTGATTCATTATGATTTCCGTTTTCATAGCTCTTTGTTTATTTGTGAAATCAGATTTGCTGAATGAGGGATTATTTTGTTTCAAAGTGAATTCACTAAGATTTATGCGTTTAATCCACTCTAACATTTCGTAGTACAATTCTTCTATTTGCTTAAGGTGGGTGCCAATTTTGTTTGCTTTAGCAATTTCAAATGTGCGCTCAATGAACGACTCATTAAAGTTTTCTGTTTTACTTAGAGGTAGGATAATGTTTGTTACAGCGTTATACGACAAATTGAAATAGTAAAATTTTATATACGTATATTGTGAGTTTGTAATGTTCTTAGGACAGTCTTCATAATTTTTTTGTTGGTACCACTGATTTAATTTTTTTATTATTTTAATTAAATTACTCGAGACCGAGTCGATCATATCGCGCGGTTTAATGTTGCTTGTCAATTCACAATGTTGGTTAATATATTTTGATAAACTTGTATTTGTCCACGCTGTATCTTTATTTCTGTCAAACGATATGCATTCTTCTCTTGGGAATGGATCTCTTTCATGTGCATAATTGCCCTTTGTGAGAACAGTATTATTCTCAATGGGAAAATTATTTGATATATTGTCTATTTTATAATCTGTGACCCAGTTAGAAACAAATTCAATCTCTTCATCATTAATTATTGTTACTTCTACTTCTACGGGCTTGTTAAAATCAATATCTGCCATTCGTTTTAAAGTGTTGACAGACTCCATGGTTATTTTACCTGCAACAAAAGTAGTAAATTGTATCATACTTTAATTACTAACGTGTAATTACATGACAGAAATATTAGTTTGAACTTATTTTTATAGGCTTTGTAGGCAGACAAGCATACAGCCCCTTTGATGGTGAGTGGTTACCGTCGCTCTTGGACGGCAGCAGTGTCAGGACCACAGCCAAGTTGCTACATACTGAGTACTCTCCGTAAGGGTTGTTTGAAGAAGGATATCTCATGGCGTTACACTATGTGACGAAACCATGCGTGCCGTCTTAAAAATCTGTAGGTTTGTTTTTATTTACAATAACCAGCTGAAATTTGGCACGTAAGATCTCTGATGTATATACACTATCAAGTAAGGGTACATTCATCAATTCATCCAATTCTTTCATAGTTGTTTTCTATTCTCTGACGTTCAGTAGGCCATATAGTTGGTATATAACCGGCTACAATTGATGATTTGCCATAGGTTGTCGTAATAAATACCAAGCGGCTTTCAACTGAATGAAGTACATCTATACTCATTTTTTTCATTATATCGACGATGTCAAATTCTGGATTTTCATCTATTATCTCAATGATCAGGCGTTGTAAATTACTAATACCTCTGTTATGTTTATTGACATACTCAGCAACATAAACAGCGCAAGCATACTCGTCCTGTATAATTTGAAAATCCATGTTAGATTTTAAATTATGGAAAACAAAATGATTAAAAGAATTAAACCACTTTTCTGATGGTTTTCGACGATAAAATAATTTTGGTCGCTTGATACCAGCACGAATAATACTGTAATAATGTTCGCCACTCTCAATATTATGGTGGGTATCCTCCTCCGTGCGTCGTATTCCTCAGTTCTGAGGGTCGTGACCTTTACTGAGCACTTTTGTCAGGACTATGTTCTTCCATTCACTTCTGTCCTCCGCGCAGTGGATAGCGACATTGATGCTGGATTCCAAAGTCGTCTTAATCTGATCGGACCAGCGCATGGGACTACGCCCCCTAGGCCTCTTTCCTTCCACTTTGCCGGTGATGAGAAGTCTTTCGAGATTGTCACCCTTTTTTCTCGCAACGTGACCGAAAAACTCTAAAATCCTACGTAGGCAAATGGTGGAGAGTCTTAAGGAGACGCCTAGTTCTTCCAGGAATGATGCGTTTGTCCGATGCGCCGTCCAGGGAATCCGCAGCATTTTCCTCCAGCACCACATCTCAAACGCGTCGATCCGACTTCGATTAGCCTTCTTCAGAGTCCATGTCTCCGCCCCATATAAGAAAATAGAAAACACAAGACTTGATACAAGTTTACGCTTGGTTTTTATGGAGATGTTTCTATCGGACCAGATGCTATCAAGCTGAGACATGGCAGTTTTTGCTATCCCGATACGTCTTCGAATCTCAGGCTCGCACGATCCAGTATTCGTAATCATGGAGCCCAGGTATATGAATCTTTCTGTTGTTTCAAGATGCAGTGACCCCGTGTGCTCCAGTTTGTTCATGCGGTCTATTACCATCACTTTTGTTTTGGATCGGTTAATGGCAAGACCAAGTTCGAGGCTAATTTTTTCAAGCTTGCTCATGAGAGCAGCCATCTCGCTTTCATTAGCCGCGAGAAGAGTGGTGTCGTCGGCGTATGGCGTATGGTGGGTATAAAAATGATCAAAACTTGTATAATTAATATTTTTTAAGTTTGATCGAATCAATTTATAATTTTCTTTATATTTTTTTAAAAGGTCTTCTGAGTAATTGAATCAGTATTCTTCATTGGTAACAATGTGACAGCGTTTTTTGTCGGCATAAAAGGTGCTCCAAATCGACAGTTATCTTTTTTGCTGGGATCCATTTTTTTTTGTAACATGTAAAAGTGAGTTTATAAGTTAGAAGTTTAATATTTCCAGACGACTCTGATTCAGCTACTGAAACTAACTCGTCAATCATTTGGATCATCACATCTGGATTGTTATTAAACAACTCTTTTGGTGCATTATATGCCAGCCATAAAAGAATGTGAGCGTGAGGACTTCCGCGATGTTGAAATTCGATTCTTTTAAAATAATGAACTACTCGATATTTGCCGAATGGGCTTCTCTTTTTTTATTGTAAAATTTTTAATAATCAATTCACTAATTTTTCAAAATAAATTGCACAAGTAACTGAATCTTCGCTGATTAATGTGGCTTTGTGAATGAAAGACATTTCTGAAATAAATTTATCACATACATTTGCTCCGTTATTTTTTAATTTATCCACTTTCATTTGCACCTAGAATCATAAAAGCAGCTGGCGCTCCTAATTGTCTTATGATTGCAAAGAGATCCCTTTTACACTCTAACCAGTACCAAGCAGAATTTGGTATACAACATAGAAAAGCTAGATTACTTTCGATACAGTTATTTATATAGTTTTCAGACTGTATGTCTTCTTTAGTAATTTTAGTATTGTAACCAAAGTGTTTAAAAGCAACACTAACATTTTTACTTACTCGCTGCCTCATAATTTTTGCAGCCAGATATAAAAGATGTCGGGGATCAACGCAACGTCGATCAGTATGCCGAAGTTCACTAGTAGCTTGCATATATGAAGTTACATTAATCCCATCTCTATAAGTTCTGAACTGACCATAGATAGTTGGAAACGAAAGTTCTTCGGCATATTCATCAAATAATATACTAAGTGGAACACTCGTTTTCACCGGGTGCTATATGCAAAAATCTGTCTTTATTCCACAGAAGAGTTTGTTGTTGAGCTGTGATATTGTCTTCTTTAGGCACATGCTCACTAATATCATTCATTACTAATTCCGTAGCTACTTCATCATTATTAAGAAATGTATTGTCTTTTTCTATACCATGATGAATATAAAGTGGCGTTTGTACTAGGTATGATGATAACCATTCTTTGATGTTCTTCTTGCTAATAAGACCATGTACATAACTTGTTTTATGTTTAAAAAAAAAAGGTGTACATAGAAACAATGGTCGTCTCAAATATTTCTAGGCAGTTGATTCACCCTAGTGTTAACTTCGATTGGAACATTAATAATTTGACCATATATACCATATTGACCATTTACATGCCTAAGTCTTCTTATCTGCATAAACGGAAGCCTTGGTGAAATGGGTCGGTGCCCAATAAGGTTTAATTTTGGCAAATGAGATGGAATCACTGGATACAAAAAACCGTTATACTGATAAAAAAGGAATTTTAGAATTCAAAGAACTTCTGCACGTAGAACAAATATCTACCTCTTACATAATTCTGAAATAAATAAAATTTAAGTCTTTTAACTCATATTATTAGACGATCAAATGTAAAATGAATAATTACCGGTATTATAAGTTGTAAAATATCATCGTGTTGATCAGAAGTTTTTTAAAAATCGTTTTTCCACCAAAGTCTCGCAAACAGCACAAGAATACCCGAAAATATTATTTTTTAAATTATTATGAAAATCTAAATGGCTATTACTATGTTGATAATAATTGGTGTAGCTTAGGAGTGTAACTTCATCAAGCTCCATAGGACAATCGTCATTAATAGCAGTGTTATTTAAAAATTTCATCGACTTCGTAATTTTCTTCATGAGATGATGTTTCAAGAAGATCTTGAAACTGTTGACAATCCATACTGCTGTTCAAAATTATTTGATCGGTTTCGATATACGGTGTATAATGTTGATTTAAAAGATGTAAATGAATGAAGTTTTGTGTGTTGTTTACTTTATAATGACAAAACAAAACTTCTTCCTTTTTACTAACAACGTTAAATTAATTAATCGGGATCCCTTTGGGACTCTGCAAGTGAATCGCTAGCTTTTTGGATAGGCGGAGCATCACTGTCGTCGTAGACGGTTGCTGCTCCGATACCATAACCATTAGCGCTGGCGTTCCACAAGGTTCGGTGCTTTCGTCGCTTTTCATCCTATACATCAATGACATGCTATCCAGTAATGGCATGCATTGCTATGCGGATGATAGTACGAGGGATGCGCGATATACCGGCCATCAGAGTCTTTCTCGGAGCGTGGTGCAGGAGAGACGATCTAAGCTTGTGTCTGAAGTGGAGAATTCTCTGGGGCGAGTCTCCGAGTGGGGTGAACTGAACTAGGTTCAATTCAACCCGTTGAAGACACAAGTTTGCGCGTTCATTGCGAAGAAGGATCCCTTTGTCATGGCGCCACAATTCCAAGGAGTATCCCTGCAACCTTTCAAGAGTATTGGGATACTTAGGGTCGACATTTCGAGCGATGTCCAATTTCGGAGTCACTTGGAGGGCAAAGCCAAGTTCGGTAAATGGCTCAGGGCAAGTATGCAGGTGTGCTGAATTTAAAAGCTGTTTTCGAATGTCTTTCGGTGAAATTTCTAGCTGCATTATTCTAATTACAGAGTGAAAAAAACAGTTACCATCCCCCAAAATGTCCATGTTCTGGCGTAACAAAACCTGCGGCGTTGTACATTCGAGATGTTGTTCGTATGGTGCAAGAAATGAAGAAATTGGAGTATTACCATGAAATCTAGAAAACAACAAAAAAAGGATAAACTCAATGACTATAAATATAGTCGATATATTGTATAAAAATTATAATTTAAATTTTTCAAAAACATACTGCATTACTGATTGCTGAGTATTGTTCACCGACATAACATCATTTGTCGCAGTTATTTCTTCTCGTTCTTTATCTTGTATATTGTCGGAATTATATATGTTTTCTGAACTAAAAAGAGAACAGTAAAATATACTATGTAACTTTGACATTTAATAATAACCAATTATGGAAAAAATATTTATTTCTAAATAATTTATTAATTAATAATAGCAATAATTAAATTGATGCCAGAGAAATTAAATATTGTTATTTTATACAATAATCTCATAAATAGAAAAAAAACAAAAAAAAGTTAAGAAATAAGTATATTTATTTGTAAATTTTCTATTATAATTATTAAAAAAAATAACTTACATTTGTGAAAAGTTCCCTTCCTTCTGTTGCAAAATAGCATTAAGCCGAGAGCATTTTAGTTTATGACGGTATTCTTTTTTTCGCAAAGATTCTTTCATTTTAAACATTTTATAAATATTTTCATTATCTTTTATATGCTTTCGATACCTTTGTTGACGCTGTGCAAGATTTACTTTCCGTATATTTTTTTCAGTACTGAAATTAATTACGGTTATTAATGTTAAAATACAGTAGAATCCGGATATAACGAGCTTCAAGGGACCGGCGAAACTATGTCGTACTAACCGGATGACGTACAAAACGGAAGGATTATTTCTTAAGTACATATGTTTATCCAACTCACGGAGCATGTGAAATTTTGCATGTCTAACTGTATAGCGAAAAATTGCTTTCCCTTGTAGCAGAGGTACATTCACGGGTATTCCCCGGTCGCACTGAAGCTTGAACCACTGTAACAATGCCTTATCCACCGGCTCATGAGTAGAAGTCCTTACACGTTTGCATTTTAAAATATTGGCATTAAACAAGTGACAAACACTAACTGTGATTCACGCGCCAATAAAGAGGGTGGGGTGAAGTTGGGGCACCGAGGAATTGGTAGGCTGTGTAAACAGCATTCTGCGTCGTTTTAACCGAATGTATCATCATAATATTCATAATTAATGGTCGCTATAAGCAGTTAGTCGCTTAAAACGGAGTCGCACTAAACGGTTATATTTTCTCAGTACCTAACTATGAAACCTAACTTGAGTAAACATTATCGTCGTTAAAAGCGGTTAGTCGTTATAAGCGAAGTCGTTATACATGAATTCTACTGTAATTATTTATTAGAAATGTATATTATTTTTAATGTATATTTTTCCTTCATTAATTTCTCGTCTGATTTCTACTAACTTTACAATTGTATTTAAAATTACACTGCCAAACATATAATATTCTATATCATACCTTGTTTCATTTTTATTTTTTTGCCGCTGCCGATACCTTCTTTGGTACTCCACATTTTTTCTTTTCCGTATTTCTTTCCTGTTAACAAATAAAATACTACATTTTATATGAAAAGAAAAAAATAACAAATAATCGTAAATAAATTATACAAATACAACCACAAAAATAAAACACGTGGTGATCATACATACAACCAAACAAAAAACACGTGTCGCTTATATCGCTCCCTTAGTAATTAATGTAAAGGCCTATTTCAAAAACACCAACTTTTGAGAAAATGCGTTTAAAGATTCGGGATTCCCGATATTTTTACTCTATCATTCATAACATCGTAATTTAAAGTGCTATAGCCCTGAATTTTTTTTTATAGAGTATGATAAACGTACTACAGTATTAACAACTGAAACATTACAAAAAATATGATTTTAGCATAATCGGCGTTCAACATCTCTCGGCTTTAATTCGTATGGAACCCAATTACCTTGTTTATGAATCATTCCTAACGATTTTAAACGATGTGAGACTGCTTGCTGCATTGATTTAAATATACTAGATGAGTAGTTACCGCATCAACGCGTAACCACTCAACATAAGCCCACAGGTGTATGCCCGGCTTATTTCATTCTGTTACTTGCGTGCCATCGTCCAAGTAACAAGTCCTGAAAAATGCGTAAATTTGTGGCGAAAGAGTGCCTTTCGAGGTCGGAAATACACAAAAAGGCAAGCGGGATTACTTTTCACACATAATTTTATCCATTCTGTATTGATTTTCATTGTAAATAAAACAAAAACTGATTTTAGAGATCATCAAGAAAAGGCTATGAAATTAAGGTTCAGTATTGCCAGTAAAACATCTTTTGGTTTTCGAGTGATTATAGGAAATTTTTATATTAATGAAATCCAGAAATTTTCGAGGCAGATCATCAAGTTGATTCTGGCTACCACAATGGTTAATGAATATGCATGCGTCTGAATAAAAGAAAATGCGGTACACATTAAACTAATCTCTTCATCCGTGCATTTTCCCGGGTATGACCTCACATTTACACGAAATTAATATGTTACTTATGTATTCCAAACTGTAGAAAAATAAAGGAAAAGACAATAATGTCTCTCTTTGGCTCCGTGTCCGTAAGATATAAATATACTGTGTCATATTCTAGAACCTAAATAAACTGTAGACAGTTTCATGAAAATCTGTACAGTTTCAGCCATACATTCATTCAGTCACCATTCTTTGAATAATGGGTTCAGAAGCAAAAAACACACAAATACAATTATTACACAATTATAAATTATTTGTATTATTATTATTGAGCTCGTCCACCCATCTAAGCAATAAAAAAAAACTTCGTTTAAGTTTATATTCAAAATTGTTTTAGTTAAATTATTTTATTTATTAATATTCGCCTAAATAATAAATATTCTGGCGAAATATTTCTTATAGCAGGCAACATAAATCGTTCTGCTTCAAGTAATATTACCATCTTTATCCAACTAACGATACGCCGCGTAACTAGTGAACTAGAGTAAGAGAGATGAATATATGTTTAATGGAAAATGTTTATTAGTTTCAAAGCTACATCGTCGTCGCATAAAGCGGCTACACTTTTGTGTACGCAAGGTACTGAGGTTTGATAGTTATATTTTAACGCTCTGGCTTGCTGAGTGACTTCTAAAGTAAGTGCCAGTTCTGTTTGTGTTTGAGACGAATCTTCCTCCAATAATTCCGTCAATTCTGCATCCTCATAAATTTTTGGCCTTCCACTGCGATCTTTGTCTTCTTCGTCAAAACCACCGTTTTTAAACTTTTTAAACCACTCACGACATGTTCTCTCACTCAAGGCAGCCTCATTAAATGCTTTTACGAGCAATCGATGCGCCTCGGCTGCAGATTTTTTAAAATTAAAAAAGTAAATTAAAAGTTCCCGCAAATGACGCTTATTTGGTTCAAATGTTAACATTTTTGGATTAAAAAAAAATGATGCTAATACGGAGTTAATAATATGATAGGGTTAAGTTGTTCTTAAATGTTCAACTTAATTTTCAAGCCGATTATCATCTGTGAGTTCGAACGTAAACCTCGTGCCACACCATCTTTCTCAAAACGGCGGAAATTTATTTGTACACCTTTTATATTACTACAATAATCTAACGAAATGGCAAATAATATTAAATAAAGTAGGAAATCAAAAACTTCCAAAAAAAAATATACGACGGAGGAGATTGACGATGACTCATGTTTGGGCTTCCGAAACAAAACTTCACGAGAACTTTGTGAGCTGCGTATATTTCACGAGAAGCATAATAATGTTCCAGAGAGACCCGTACTGCACTACGGCTAGGACACGAATGATTGAGCGCTTTTTTTCCCCTACCTATGCTGGATAGCCTTGAGAGGCTATTTCAGCTTCACCCTAACGTGTGTAGGTGAGCTTACGGGGCTCAAACCGGTTGCTAACACTGACTCTAGCAAGAGCAGTGCTTCGCAGAATCTACCACCGGATCGGAAACGCGATCCACTGAGAAGATCCGGCGAGAAACTCAGATGGCTGTGTCTATGGGTTAATTCGCTCGTCGAGCCCTTCGTCGCAAGCGACGGGTTCGACGAGCGACGGTATTTTCATCTGTTTTAAAATTATAACCACAGTTTTCCTGTAATTCCTTCACGTCGTAAAAGAAGTCATAAGAAAGTTTTTTTCATTTTCGTTTTCTAGTTAATTATACATCAGCAGAGGTTGTGTCAGTATTCAATTCAGTTATCAAGTATCAGATGATGTAGTTGAAGACCGCTGTCTTTTGACTGTCTTTTATTTCGTCCCACTACCTTCTTGAATATTGGGATCCATAAAGACTCCCCAGGGGCAAATTTACAATTTCAAAACATAGTCCAACTACAATGGCCTAATCATTATCACCTATTCACTGATGCATCTAAACTATCCCAAAATGGTCTTTTAGGTGCTGCAGTATGTCTCCTTAAAATACAAACTCCCTCAGACTTCCTCTGTGTACTCTGGTGAAGCTGTTGCTCTTTTAGAAGCAGCTCTTTTTATAAAAACTCGTGGTCTAAATAAATCAATAATTTTTTCGGAGTCCTTAAGCTGTCTTCAAGACATAACTAAATTTCCATCGCATTCAAAAGTCAATTTTGTAATTATATTAAAAATTAAAGAAATCTGTTTCAATGTCCCTGCTCCGGACTTGATGTCACTCTCGTCTGGATCCCAAGTCATAGCGGAATTAGTGGGAATGAGCTTGCCGATTCTTGTGTCAAGGAGGCTGTTGTCATGGGCTGTAACAAGTATAACAAAATTTTTCCTCGAGATTTACATTCCTTGGCAAAACCTGATATGCTTCAATCTTGGAATGAAAGCTGGCAGATTTCTCGTCAGTCAGTAGGTAAGCATTATGGTAATTTGCAACCGACCCTGCCCTCTTTTTTTCCTTGATTTTCCTCCCACTGCCATCTCCCTAAAAAAATTGTCTCAGCTATAATCCGTCTTAGACTTGGCCATGTTTGCTCCCCTGTTTTTCTTGCCAAAATTAAAGTCCGTGACCATTCTCTTTGTGAGTGTGGATTAGATGAGGGTACCCTGGATCATATTTTCTTCGACTGCCCCAATATCATATCCCCTCTTTATGATATCCTTCCCAATGACATTCCCCGGCCTATTAATATTAATTGTTTATTAACTTTCGTCTATTCTAAACATGTAAATATTCTGTGTAAATTTTTATCTGCTAATAATATTAATATCTAAAGTAGTTAGTTTAATATATATTTGTTTGTGCTGTTCTTAAAACCACAGATTCTCGTATGGAGAAACCGACCAAATTTATTTGTATTTAGATTTAGTAATTTTTTCCCTCTCTAAGCATTTGTCATTTTTGTAAATACTTTGACAGTGGCAAAATCAATGCCAAAGACGTTGAAGCCAAATTATTTAAATAAATAATAATAATGAAGAATGCTGTCTGGCTGCTGGTTCTGTATTTATAGATTGCATCATTATCACTAAGCTCAGCATCACTCTCTTCAGAATTAATTGGTGATATGTGGTAATCTTGGGAGTAGCGGGATGTACTATTATTGGTTCAACTTTTTCTAGTGTCTGAAACGATGGAGACGTAGATTGTGGCCGAGAAGTTTGTTGTTGTTCATCCGAGTGTATAAGATTATTTTGCAAAGTAAGTACTGCTGGAATTTTTGGGAACATTCTTGGGACGATTGGCGACTACCAAAAGTTGTGCTGGTATTATTGTCGGAACTTGAAGATGAGCTGGAACTACTTGAAGATGATCTGCATGACCATTTTGATGGGGTTCTGATAAAAACAGTAAACGGCTGAGGCGTAGCGACTCATAGTTGTGTATTTTCAGCAATTTTTGGGTGCGGAATAATAATTGACGTAATTGCGTTACCTGTATAACATTCATTAATCTTAGGGATATTCTGTTTTTCCAAAAGACGTCCAGTACTTAACTGAAATAAAAATTAAACAATTAGATGCTATACATTACATACATAATATCATGCCTGTTTTCCATTATTAGGGTAGGCAGAGACAATAGAGTGCCACTCGCCACGATGAATGGTGTGGACATTATATACACTTAATTTGAAATACAATTCGATTTAACTGATAGTAAAAAAGGTATGTAGAATCTTATTCAAATGAAGTATAAGGTACATAGTAAGAATTTTATTATATGTATTGGTTAATAAAAAATATAGTATGTAGAAAACTTACTTCTTGTTCCTTGGGCGATTGACTTTTTTGGGATATTTAGTCGTTCTGGGAGATTGAGTAGGTTTGAAATTTTATGCGACCGCAATGCCATATTTCTACAAATCAAAATAATAATTGTATCTATTTGAGTTCATTGTTTCCTTGAAAATTAATTCACACCTACTTAACCCATAAATAGAACAATTTACTGATTTTTAAACCAACCAAACTCAACATTATGGACCAAATTCATATTTTGATTAAATATTTCGCATTATGTAAAGAACTAACCTTATATGTAAACACAATTCCTGTATCTAATTTGTGAAAAAAAGAATGATTTTGAGATAAGCATAGAAAAAACTGAATTTCGTTGTAAAATAAGGACCTAATTTGATTTAAGACGAGGTATTTTAATATTTTTTTGTGATACAAGGGCCTAACTCTAATTCAGCCTGTATAAAATATTATTAAAAAATATTGCAATACTTACCCGATAATTTGTAAAGCACAATTTCAATTTGGACTATTTTGGACATGGCGTCAGCGCTCCGGCTTCGTAAAGTACTGGCGCTGTACTGGCTGGGAGCCTCTCTAGAAGGAAGAGGCGGACGCGCGAGAGGATGGTGTGAAAGGCTTACAGTAGGTATTCATAAAAAATTTGGCTTTTTTCTCTTTCTGTGAAAGCCAAGTGGTGGAACAGTTGATATTGAGCATATATATATATGCAAAAAGTCAAAACCTCAAGATTTCAATTTGCCCATCTATTACTAAGGGAGCGATATGTGAAATGTTTTAAATAAATTTTATTTTTTTACTTACATAGTATTTGGTGACTTTATACAATTATCAATCACCAATTCTGTCACTGTATCACTTTCTATCACTGTATACAATTCACTTTCCATTTTTTTAAGTGTTTTTTAAATTAATTCACAAAATTACTCAACTCTTTTTTTTTTGAATTTATAGCCTGGTAACTAGACCTTTAGGCCAAATAACTCAACTTTTTTTTTAGAGTTTATGGCCTGGTATCTAGACCTTTAGGCCAAGTATCTCAACACGAACACAAGCAGTGTTGCCACATGGTCGGTATTACGGATGCTTTTGTCTGCCACACAACAGCAGATATTTAGCAATTTCGTTTGTCAAAAGACATTGGCCACTCTCCATACTTTGTACGGCCCACTAAACGAAGTTCAAGGACAGAAATGAAATTTAGTTTTAATAACAAAGTACATATCCCTTTTGTTATAAACAAATTAAAATCAATATTGTTCATGGGGATACAGAGATATTTAAAAAATAAGATAAGAATTTTAGATTATATCATATGATTTTGCTGTCATTACACTGACACTTTAACATCATCATCAGCTTAAATATTATTTATATTACCGGTAAAATGGGGCGATTAGGGACAATTTCCAACTTTATGACCAATTTTAAGGTAGTTGTTGATGTATATAATGCTATATCAGGATCAAAATGATTGAAATGATGAATAATCATAAAAAATATCAGCTCATAAAAAAAATATCAGCAGCAGTTTCAAAAAGTTGGTATGTTTTCTGTTCGTTGAAATCTCTACTTTCCGTTGGTGAAAAAAAAATGTATTAAATGTACAAATGTAGGGTAGATTGAGATAGGGATAGATTTAGATTTAGGGTCCATCAACTTTTGAGTCGAGGAGGGAGGGGTGTAAGGGCTTACCACTGCAACATCACCAAGCAGCATATCCCCATGGTTATGAAGCCTCAGCCGCTCCGCCTCGCACTGTTTCCGTGCTCCGTCACTGCGGGCGAGGAATGCTTTCCCTCCGCGCCTCCGGTTTTATATACACTCTAGGGGTAGGGCAGACCAGACCAGGTAGAAAGTGGGGTGCTCTGATTCGGTTTTTGATATTTTTCGAATATTTATGCATTTTATTACCAAAAAACGAGCAATTTTACTATTTTATATTATTTAAAAAGAAATTTTATTACAGACAGCTAAAAAGACGCTATAAAAAAATGCGTCATTTCACGTTCCGTTCCACAGTGTAAACAAAATTTTGCTACTTTTTATGCAAAAAAAAAAAAATTTTTATTGCTTAATACAGCAACAGTAATTTTACTGTGCACATTAATGACAACAAAACTATGTGAATATATTAAAATAACTAGCTTTTACCCGCGAACATCGTCCGCGTGGAATAGTTCACAAACAATGCTTTATTTTAGAACAAATTTGGTCAGCAAAAAAACCTTATAGTGAGCCAACCTTAACATATAGACATATGCTATCGCGGATTTTTTTTTAGAGCTTTATAGGGAAACAATTCTGTCATACATTATTTTAGCGAAACTTTAATCGTTTTTGCAGCGCACGCAGCGAAAGCTCTCAAAAGGGAAAAAAAACTCCGATTTTGAAACATTATTTATTGGTGCTTCGCTTTTATTGGTCTTAGCGTGATGTTATATAGCCTATAGCCTTCCTCGATAAATGGGCTATCTAACTTATCTTGGGTAAAATGTGTCATACAAATGAAAAGATACAAATGTATCTTTTCATAACACTGAACTATATCTATCTTCTAGTTCAATAGTTCCACAGAAATGTTTTGGCGTTGAGTTTGGTTTTCCTTCACTAGTTCATAAACAGATAAATAGATCGAGATATAAGAAGCAACGGGACCCCTGGAAGTCTGTGAAAGATGTATTCATCAGTTGTTAAAATGAGGACAGGGCATTTTTTTTAACCGAAGGGCATCTAAATATAAACTGGATATGCCTCTGGGGCACAGAGAAGGCTGTTTTGGATGCATGTTCTGGCTTTATTAAAAGTTGGTGGAATCCAGAAGAGTATTGACTTTGCCCTAATTGGTCGATGTTTTCAGTAATTTGAGGGATTGAACAACTTCACCGATAATTATGTCCTAGAATTTCCTTGTCGATGACTATACGCCATTTCTTTACGCCGGAAGCGTCTTTTTGAGAGTGACCCAGATGGGGAGGATCAAGGAGAGGAAAATGGAGTAATGATATCTTGGTCTAACATTTTGTCGATTTGGGTTTTTACTTCTTGTTTGTGACACTACGGGAAGCGGTATGACTTAATATGGTTTGGAGTATCGTAAGTAGTTTTGATTTCGTGTTCGATGATTGGAGAAGAATATAAGGGTTTGTAAGGTAGGTGAAATATATCGGAGTATTTTGAATATAGGTTAAAAAGGGCACCACTGTCTTCTCGGTTTACATGAGATGTTCTTCGAAAGTCTGGTACTTTTTCGGATCGTTCAGTTACACTTTCGACGTTCAGGAGAAATTGTATTGGATAGGTCTCTGTTGGATCTATTTTTAGTTTAAGATTAGGTTTGATTTTATGTTAAGGTTAATGATTGAGATGTTTAATCTTTTATTCTCTTTTACTTTTACAAAACAATTAGCTATAAGGATTGTTCTTGATAGGTACTGGTCCACTATGGTGCTTACTTTTAATTCTGTTTTTACTAAAGTGCATTCGATAACTGTCTCTGTGCGTGGAGGAAAGATCATTGATCGAAGAAATGTACACTCCAGGTCACATCTATCGGCCCACATAGTGTTTTAAGTTTTCATGGTCCCTAGCTAAAATAAATGTTACATGGAGCAATAAGTTTTTATGAAGTTTTGAAGCTGATTTATTAATCAACCCTCTTTTTTTTCTGGCCAATGGCCGAACCTCTTACGAGGTCTCCGCACCTAGGGGGCCGGCTGTAGTCCCGCAAGGGCCCGTTCCTTCTCCGCTCCTCTTTATTTTGTTTCCGCGGTCGCCGCAGACCGCCGTAGATACAGACATGACTGTTTACTACTCGAGTAGAAACAAGTCCCTTATCACGAGGAAACTCCAGAGCGCAGCCGTAACCCTCGGACAGTGGTTCCAAAAATGGCGCATAGACATAAACTCAGCGAAAAGTACACCGGTGCTATTTCAAAGGGGAAACTCAACGCGTATTTCCTCCCGTATTAGGAGGAGAAATCTTTCTCCCCCGATCACCCTCTTCGGCTAATCAATACGCTGGGCCAGGAAGGTCAAGTACCTGGGAGTCATCTTGGATGCATCGATGATATTCCGCGCGCACAAAAAATCTGTCCACATACTACGCGTTATGACATACGCGAGTGTGGTGTTCGCTCACGCGGCCCATACACACCCTTCAAGCCTCCAATCACGGCCTCCAACCATGCTTTTGCAGATTCGCCGTCTGAGCTCAGTAGTTCGTAAGGAATGTTGACCTACACGACAATTTGGGTCGTGAATAGAGCCGAAAACCCATGAAGCCATGATAATCGCGTTATTGTTGCCGCCGCTGATTACTTCCCGAATCCTGCTCACGCAGTAGCCAATCACTGTCGACGCCCTAGAAACGTCCTTGCGGATCCATCAGATCCAATACCCTTGCATTAGACGCCTTTAGATCTAACGACGAGTTCGACGTGCAACCTTAGCTAGACATCAGCTGAGTTTCTCGCCGGATCTTCTCTGCGGGTCGCGATTCTGATAGTGGATTCATTCGCGAAGCAGCTATTCTTGAGTTGTTAGGTTTCCTTAGGAGGCACTCGGCTTAGCAAGTCCCAGCCCTCCTGGCTGAGCCGTTACTCGCCCACCTCTCTTGGTGAAACTGGAAAGGTTCCGGGTCAATGCAATGATAGTTTACAGCGCTCTTGTTTGGTGCCGGCCTTTTTTTTTCTTTTTTTTTTTTCCGGGTAGAGGCCCGATCCTCCTACGAGGTCCCCGCGCAAAAGGGGCGCGCGGGGTATGTGAGACTCAACGATCTGCATGGTGTTGTGAGCAGATCGCGGGCCCAAGGATTTTAGGACCCACCCACTAAACGACTCCTCTGCACTCTTACACCCGACGTCCGATCCCCTCCGAGGTCAGAACCCGGATGAGGTAGGGGGGCTACCGCGGTCAACACTACAACCAGACGGCGCGGCTCACCCCAAGGACGCCCAGCCGACGGAGCCTTCGAGGCGAATCGAAGGCTCTGAAACGTCGGCCGTCTCGGTACGGCAGCCTGTCAGGCCGCCCAGACGGTGCCGCTGGTGTCCCGGAATACCCCGCTGGACCAGAATCAGCCTGCCGGGTCGGGACGCGATACACCGTCGACCGGTCGCTCTATTCACTCCACGGCAGCGCGCTAGAGTGCTGGTAGCGCGCCACGCGGCCTCACCCCCTCAGGTCGCCCCTTGACCTTCACCGGGGGGAGGCCGCTACCTACAGGGGCCGGGACGTACGGGCGTATTCCCGCCTCCGGCCCCCGGCTCGACGGCGACGGATCGGTGCGGAAAGGGAAGAGCTCTCCCTCTCTCGCTCCGCCGCCTCCTTCTGCGAGATGGTGGACTCGCAGAAGTCGAGCATCGCNCACCCCCTCAGGTCGCCCCTTGACCTTCACCGGGGGGAGGCCGCTACCTACAGGGGCCGGGACGTACGGGCGTATTCCCGCCTCCGGCCCCCGGCTCGACGGCGACGGATCGGTGCGGAAAGGGAAGAGCTCTCCCTCTCTCGCTCCGCCGCCTCCTTCTGCGAGATGGTGGACTCGCAGAAGTCGAGCATCGCCTTCCAGGACGTCCTCTCCTATGACCGCGACGAGGGCAGCGCGTTGCTCGTCGAATCCAGAGCAACGCGCCAATGTATGTTCCGCTGTGTCTTCCCCGTCGCGGTCCGCGCAGTGGTGGCACTGCGCCGTCGGTTCCCTTCCGGCTATCTTGTGCAAGTACCGGCCGAAACATCCGTGGCCGGTAAGCATCTGAGTCAGCCGGAAGGTGAGGCATCCGCGGTCGCGGCCCACCCAGTCCGCAAGAACCGGGCGGACCGCCTCGACGGTACGGATGCCGGCCGACGGGTCCGCCAAGCGGTGAGACCACGCCTCCAGCACGGACCGCCGAGAGTGGAGCCTCCACGCTCGAACTACTCCTTCGCCGGGGCGCCCTTCCCTCCTAGAGCGGAGGTCGCTACGCCACCTGTAATCGGCAGCGAGCGCCTCCGCCTCCAGGTCCCAGGGTGGCGCCCCGGCGAGCAAGCACGCCGCCTTGAAGGAGACGGTGCGGTATCCTCGGATCGCCCTGATCGCGATCGCGCGCTGCGGACGTCACAGCGCCGCGACGTTCTTGCGGGTCAGGGCGTGGCACCATACGGGAGCCCCGTATAGTGCCATCGACCGCACCACCCCCATGTAGAGGCGGCGTGCCACCTGATCGGGACCCCCGACGTTTGGAAGCAGCCGGCTCAGAGAGCCGGCCGTCGCCATCAGTCGAGGGCCCAACTTCCAAAGTGAGCGCGGAAGTTCCACGTTTGGTGCCGGCCTGCGAAAATATATATATATATTTTTTTTTTTATTGCCTTTGTAGGCAGACGAGCATACGGCCCACCTAATGGTGAGTCGTTACCGTCGCCCATGGACTTCAGCAATGCCAAGGGCAGAGCCAAGCCGCTGCCTAACGCTTATATCCGCGTTGCGACGTCCTCAACGAGCGATCGTGGTCAGGATCGGTATCGAGGATACCGCACTTTCTCTTACGAGGCGGCGTGCCTACTCGCGCAGGAGCCTGGAGGCAGAGGCGCTAGCTGCTGACTACAGGTGGTGTAGCACTATCTGGTTGAAGTGTTGACCATGGTAGTATCTTATCCTTATCTCATCCGGGTTCACACACTCAGCACAATATTCAATCCTCGAAATTGGAAATCAGAAATAATGAAATGAAAACAAAAATTCCATATTAAATCATTGTTTTAATAATAGGACTCGTCAATGTAGAAAAAAAACAATATTAAAATTAATGTTTCAATTTCTTTGATTAACGCTTTACGTGACCGTTGTGCTGATTTCTTCCTTGTTCAACTGTGTCTCGGTGACTGGCAATTTTTCTGATGTATTTGCCAATCATAGGCCTAAAATCGAAGTTTAAATTTACATTATACCGCTTCAAAGAAACGCATTACTGCTTCACGGCAGAAATAGGCATGGTGGTGGTACATCCCGTGCGGAGTCACAAGACATCCTACCACCAGCAACTTCGCAAATTATAATTTATGCGGGTTTGATTTGTATTACTCGATGTTATTCCTTCACCATGGAATTCAATCGTGAACATTTGTTAAGTACGTTTTTCATTACGAAAAGTTGGTATCTGCCTGGGGGATTCGGACACCGATGAATCGCTTGATACGAATGCACCGGACGTCTTATCCTTCAAGCCACGACCACTTCATGTATATTCATCTGCATTTTAATGTTGTATAATTTGTTTGGAAAATAAAAAAGGATATTATTTACCTGACAGCTTGTACCACAGTAATAAGGTCCGTAACAATTGAAACATTTTAGCCTTGTGTTCTTTAAACATACTTTACAGAACCCTTCTGTGATCAATGATACACCAGGACTTGTAGACGTTGCAAAACTTATAGATATAGTTGGTTGGACGTTTTTATTCTGTTGTTCACCCTGTCGAAGATAAAAAATAGTCGCTAAAAAGTTAAATCAAACAAGCGGTTTCAAAAGATACGTGAAATTCACTTTAATGTGCGCGGAAGCGCTAGTCACCGCCTGAGGTATGTGAGCGGCAGGGCGGGCGAGGTAGACAAACGTCAAGCTAACTCAGTCTGCCGTCGACCACCATAGATTATACACTTAATATATTCGAGATAGATGCGCAACTCTCATTTTAATTTTTGCTTTAATTAAAGCCCGGTCCAGCAGGCGTCGCTACGGTCGATTATTAGTCTCCCTACCCCCCACCAGGTGGCTTTTTTAGTAATTTTAATATTTTTAATAACTCTCTTTATGAAAAAATCTTATCGTTTAGAATCGCTGAAATTCCCGGTAGTACTTATGAGATATTAAGGAATGTTTGATTGTGTTCAGCATTCTAATCGATAAGATCTTTTCATACAGAGAGAAAACAGTTTTTTAAAATAAAAAGCTGTAATTCTCTGTAAGCTATTTAATTTCCCTATATTACAAACAATTTTCTGTTAAAAGATTGTATGAACGTACAATTGTATAAAATTTCGAATAACAATAACTCCTCTAGATTAATCCTACTAGCGTACTTATTAACATTAAATCGAAAGTTATCTAAAAGTTAATTAAGTCTAGATAATCAAATCATTCAATGTCAATTAAGTCATTTGTGCGAAATATAAACATGTCAGCTTTCCATTACAAACATAGTAGACAATTTGAATTAAATTTAATAAATTTGTTTCTTAACGATAGCAGTTCTTGCTTAAAGTTGATCGTGACAGATCATGACCTTGTATGAAAATATTACATCTATAAACACTACCTATGCTTCGTCATACAATAATTGTCATTTAAACTAGCATTGTAGAGATAATACACACACTAAAGTGAATACTAAATTATTCTTAGCATTCTTATAAACATTTAGAAATTTAAGAAACGATTAACCCACAATCATGTTCATAACATGTGACATTTTGTTCTGCACAAACGTTTTATTACATGATTTGAAAAACAAAAAATGTTTAAAAAATGTAATGATGATTTAAAGTACTCTTAAATATTGATAGTTTGTACTTAATGACGCTTATAGTAATCTTAGACATGATTACATTAGTTATACTTTTATTCCCTATCTAAATTATTTCTATTCTGACGTTTCTGATGCTTTAGCTTTGGTAATACTAGATGAAACAAACAGCAGATTGAAAGAAAATCATCTTAAAGTTAATTACATTCATTACAAACCATTAGTTTACATTTTGTTACAAAAGAAACTGGTGTTCGTTACATGCAAATGAATTATAAACATACACATGCAAACATAAAATGTAAATTTATCTTTTAATCCAAATTAAATGTACACTAATATTACATCTAAATAATAGAAAGGGTTTCGAAAATTTTTATTGCACTCAACAGCAGACGAGCACGCAACCCGGCCCATGATAAGTGGTCACCAGTGCTTATAAACTTCAGCAGTGCCATAGGGGTTGCTGTCTATCACTTAAGTTTTAATAAATTATTAATATACTCAGTCACAAGCATATTGATTTCACATAATGAAAATGTAAGAAACATAATCATGTTTGGGCATTTTCATTTATATCTGCTCATACAGAAAACACAACTTAGCAAATATATTCCACAGTTAATCTAAATAATTGCAAATAATGCTTTTAAAGACCGTTGACTTTTGATCATTAATTAAAATCATCTTCTCGTAGAATTTACAAAAGGTTATTTACAAAAATTTATATCAGTATTTTCATATATTACTAACTTACTAATTACAACTATTCAAACGTAATACTATAACTATAAGAACTAAACAACCTATTTTAAAACAAAATTGGCATCAATTTAGTTCTTATGAACTATTTCAATTATTAATTTATCAATTATAAACATATTTAAAAAAAATTAAGATCCCTTGAGAGTTCACGTTCCTTGCTGAATCAGTTTCTCTTCTGAAACGGAGAAACAAAGTATCTTAAGTATGTAACAAATATTGAAAAAATACGACCATGAAAAATTTAGTGTTAATGTAATCTTACTTACAAATTAATATATTACATAACACGTTCTGGTTCAAATATAGTGCATCAATCTTTTCATGTTTCAGACATTTTAGTGCTCCTTATAATTTTTCCATAAAATTTTGTCATTATCAAACCTTTGTCTACAAAAATAAAAACATTATTTTATATTGGGTAGAAGGATGAACGTGGTCACAGGCCACTTGGTGTAACTTAGTTATCAAACACCAGGAAACAAAACGTGAATGCCATCATCTAACTTTGGATGTGAGATCAATTGTGCTGTATTTTATTTAAACAGGAAAGCATGACTGATTGATCATTCCAAAAAACTAGTTCGGGCCCACTTGACAATAAGCATATAATACGCTGAGTTGCAAAACATAAATACTTCCACCCACTCGAGACAATTTTATTATCTGAGGTGTGTGTGTGATAGTACGAGACTTAATACCGACTGTTTTGATCAAAACTTAACATATATGATAGCTAGGCAGCAGAAATAGGAAGGACCATTAGTTGGTGCTAATTCATTTAATTATATTATGAATAATAATTCTGTTAGCAAATAATATACCGGGAAAATAGTGTAAACTCACCGTTATCAAGGCATCCGAAATAGCATTTCATTTTCGATCTTCGAGGCATGCTGATTTTTAATAATAAACTTTCTGTAAGAAATGAAAATAGTTACACAGGCTTACGAAACGCTAACGAAGAAAAAAGTATTGGAGCCAAGTTATGTCTAAAGAGAATTCAAAACAGAGTTTCTCAATGTCTAATCGTCTAATATTCTCATAAAGCTAAAAGTTGCTCTAAATTAATACTACAACGTAAAATAACTCACACCAAGACCAAAAAAAAACGATTTAAAAAATTAAATCGTTACGACATTTTGAAAACTTTTTTTTTTTTTTAGATTGTTTTACGGCCCTGGAATTTTGAAAACTTCAAAGCAGTGTTTCCACTTACGTTTTTTTAACACATTTTACCCTAGTTTCTTTTGAATTTATCCCTAAAATTTCCTAGACAACTTTCATAAATCCTTTTATAGAAAGCATAAATAAAATACAGAAAATAAACCACAGCATATTATTTAATGTAGGTATATATAATATAAACGCCCCCAGAAGATCATAGATCTATAGGATTAGAATTTTCAAGGAAGTCGACGCATTGCTTTTATATTCTTTTGCTGCACGCAACCTAACACTGTTCGGTTCTAAAATTGAGCAATTGTTTGCTGGCAAAGTTGGGAACTTTCTATGAAGCAAGCCGTTCAGGGTTTCATTAGAAAGCCTGTTTCTTTTGTCAGTTTTTACATTTGAGAACACTGAATAATCTTTCCACCTCAGTCTTTGAAGAAGGAACTGCTAGCAAAAGTGAAATGACAATTACAAGGTTTTCGTAAATGAAATTACCATGATAATCTTTCATGGTACATGAAGTACCTGTATATTACAATACAAGTAAGTTCTGGTGACATCAACGAAAATAGGTAAATAAAAATTTGGCGGATTATACTTATTGGGATTCTGGGGAATCCCTAAGAAAAAAGCAGTGGCTTAATCTATGATTTACTTTACTAGAGGGTTACTGTTGAATCAAACCTTCTTTATAGTTTTTATACACAACTCTGTTTTATTCTTTTACTTGTCAACTCGACTTAATGTCATTCTCTCTCCATAAAATAAAATGTTCATTGTTTTACTTTAATTATCGTTTATTTTAAAATTCACAACAGTTACTAGTATAGGCTTTGCTTTTTACCCCGAAATATCCTAAATCCTGGTATTTTTTAAATTGTCTTTATCATCCAAAATATCAGCTATTTTTCCCTAAAAAAGGGAGAATTCCCTAAAAGTGGAAGCACTGCTTCAAAGTACGCTACATTTTTTATTGAGTCAGAACTCGTATCTGCCATCTAGTGAGTTTATTAGTTCATTAAGGCCAAAACGTTTCAAAAATGACCTCGCCGGTTCCTAAAGATGGCGCTAGTTGAATGTTCTTTTCCTTTGTATGGGAGTTGCACCCCCCTGTCGACCACCGCGGCGGTTACACGATATAGTAGTTCCTGCCAGTTTGTTCCAAACATACACGAGATAAAATATCCGAAGATGGGTCCACCAATTACACGACCAGTGCAAAATGTAATTTACAATGTGCACAGTTTTTTTTCTCAGACCGTGATGAGAATTGTAGCTAAAGGAAATTCGAATCGGCAAACATCGGAAAAATCAAAATTTACTTCTCCACAAAAACCTAAAGAAATAAAAAAGAGAATTCACATTGATGATTTCGACATGGGGGTCTAACGAACGAAAATTCATCAGTTTGTGTTGATAAAAAATCAAAATAGATAAATAAATATATATTTTTTATAATTTATTATAACGGTGATAGCGTTTTTCATTTTCTTATTAAGAAATGTTAATTTACTTATAAAATTGTTTTGTATCGTAAATAATAAAATATAATAAACACTTGAATATGCATTTTTTGTTTAACCAAGAAATAGAAAAATACAATATTACAATTAGGTACCCATTACATTAATTCTAACATGTTATTCTGAGATTTATCTGCACTTAAATATAATATCGTGTGCGTCTTGTCAATCACGCCCTCCCCCGTCTTACTCCGCCACATACTTCAGGAGGTGATTAGCGCTTCCGCGCGCACTATAGAAAACAATTCAAATTAAATGTCATTAAAAGAATGTCATAAACAGCTTAGAGATACATCACCGAATACTACGGATAGTGATTTTGAACATAATTTATCTCATATAATTTTCATTGAGAACTAATTTTAAATGAAAACTGTCTACAGTTATAATATTTGTAAAAAAAAGAAGACTGCATGTGTATAATTTTCATTGTAATTGAAAATAACTGGTCTCGCAATGTATTTAACACGTGTGACCGCATAACATCCACTATGAACGAATGGAGAGCAAAAATTAATTCAGTTTCGCGGGTACCTTGATTTGTCAAGGAGGGGAACTGGGTTGTATTTAGGATTCTTGTAATTCGTCGGCCGCGTATAGTAACTATCGTACTGATACTTGAAAAAACCTAATGTAGGAATATACTGCTGCTGATTGGTAGTTAGGACAAGGTACAGCGGTGCAAGGAAATGGAACACTTGTTCATCCATCACTACCTGGTCTTTGACCTTGATGTTAGATTGGGAATTTGATTAACCAGATACGTTTTTATGAAAGCCCGAGCTTTTTACTACTGGACTATTTCATGAGATAGATCAATAGTTGGGTTTTAGTTTTGACATATAGCTTGGCGTTAGCAGGGGCGCTAAAAAAGCTTTTTTCCCTTTTTTTCCTTTTCGCTTTCTTTCCTTTTTTGATTAAGAATTAAGGATGCGTCTACGATCACATCGATACTTGGGCATTCTTCGGAAGCGCTCGGCAATGATCGGTGCATTTAGGCAAAAAAAGAAAGGGAATAAGTATTTTAGCAGAATTAAATTATAGATTAATGATATCCAACACGTAATATCGATATAATATCGTGTAATCAAAATCAAACACGTAAAATTATAATTTGTGAAATTCCAGGTGGTAGAGCGTCTTGTGAGTTGGTACGGGTTGGTACCTATTTTCTGCCACGACACGACGAGCTGTCGTAGTTTCTGGTTTGAAGAATGAGACATTGACAGTCGTCATGGCCTAAAGGATAAGATGTCCGGTGCATTCGTGTTGAGCGATGCACCGGTGTTCGAATCTCAAGCGGGTAGCATTTTTTCTAATGAAATACGTACTCAACAAATGTTCACGATTGACTTCCACGGTGAAAGAATAACATCGTGCAATAAAAATCAAACCCGCAAAAATTATAATTTGCGTAATTACTGGTGGTAGGACTTCTTGCGAGCCCGCGCGGGTAGGTACCACCGTCCTGCCTATTTCAGCCGTGAAGCAGTAAGGCGTTTCGGTTTGAAGGGTGGGGCAGCCGTTGTAACTATACTTGAGACCTGAGAACTGATATCTCAAGCTGGGTGGCGCATTTACGTTGTAGATGTCTATGGGCCAGTAACCACTTAACACCAGGTGGGCTGTGAGCTCGTCCACCCATATAAGCAATAAAAAAACATGATGTAATGTTTGTAGGGTCATCCCTATATTCTTAATACCAAGTGAGCTCGCTGAAACGTCTTAAAAGTGCTCATAAATTTATGAATATTTTGAACATATACACTAAAAGTTCTCACCGAGTCATCGGAAGTGTCCCAAATAGTTATAATATCACCGTTTCCCGATGACGCAGAATGTGTTAGTGTTGGATGACCTGAACCAGTTTGAAAATTCTGAGGTTCTGCTTTGGCTCGCTGTTCATTTAGAAGTTGGATGTACATAGGATCTGTTGCTTCATTGTTATTACAAGATCGTGACCTTTGCGGATTATTTGTATGAAAAGAATGTTGATCGTGATGAACAGCATTGTAATTATTGAATGAACTTAATAATTTACTTTGATTATTTTCGTTTTGTTTAGATTGCGCATCGTAATGTACAGGAGAGTTACGGTAATGTTGGTTACTTGTATCTTGATTCATTATGATTTCCGTATTTATAGCTCTTTGTTTATTTGTGAAATCAGATTTGCTGAATGAAGGATTATTTTGATTCAAAGTGAATTCACTAAGATTTATGCGTTTAATCCACTCTAACATTTCGTAGTACAATTCTTCTATTTGCTTAAGGTGGGTGCTAATTTTGTTTGCTTTAGCAATTTCAAATGTGCGCTCAATGAACGACTCATTAAAGTTTTCTGTTTTACTTAGAGGTAGGATAATGTTTGTTACAGCGTTATACGACAAATTGAAATAGTAAAATTTTATATTCGTATATTGTGAGTTTGTAATGTTCTTAGGATAGTCTTCATAAATTTTTTGTTGGTACCACTGATTTAATTTTTTTATCATTTTAATTAAATTACTCGAGACCGAGTCGACCATATCGCGCAGTTGAATGTTGTTTGTCAATTCACAATGTTGATTAATATAATTTGATAAACTTTTATTTGTCCACGCTATATCTTTATTTCTGTCAAACGATATGCATTCTTCTCTTGGGAATGGATTTCTTTCACGTGCATAATTGCCCTTTGTGCGAACAGCGTTATCCTCAATGGGAAAATTATTTGATATATTGTCTATTTTATAATCTGTGACCCAGTTAGAAACAAATTCAATCTCTTCATCATTAATTATTGTTACTTCTACTTCTACGGGCTTGTTAAAATCAATATCTGCCATTCGTTTTAAAGTGTTGACAGACTCCATGGTTATTTTACCTGCAACAAAAGTAGTAAATTGTATCATACTTTAATTACNTTATAATCTGTGACCCAGTTAGAAACAAATTCAATCTCTTCATCATTAATTATTGTTACTTCTACTTCTACGGGCTTGTTAAAATCAATATCTGCCATTCGTTTTAAAGTGTTGACAGACTCCATGGTTATTTTACCTGCAACAAAAGTAGTAAATTGTATCATACTTTAATTACTAACGTGTAATTACATGACAGAAAAATTCGTTTGAACTTATTTTTATAGGCTTTGTAAGCAGACAAGCATACGGCCCCTTTGATGGTGAGTGGTTACCGTTGCTCTTGGACGGCAGCAGTGTCAGGACCACAGCCAAGTTGTTACATACGGAGTACTCTCCGTAAGGGTTGTTTGAAGAAGATGTGACGAAACCATGCGTGCCGTCTCAAAAATCTGTAACTTTGTTTTTATTTACAATAACCAGCTGAAATTTGGCATGTAAGATCTATGATTTATATACACTATCAAGTTCAAGATCTATGATGTACATTCGTTGTAATTTTTATTATGTATAAAATAAAACTAAAATAAAATTGACACATTTTCGTATAAAAACCTAGTTTAAATTATTATGATAATATACTATTATTTAGTATTATTCTTATTACTGAATATAACATCATCATATATGAAATGACAAAAATGTATTAATATATTACATAAAATCGGAAAGAATAATTACATTACATCTATAAGTACATAAAATTCAAATATCTAACAGGTTCTTGGCTTCGTCTAATAATTCCTTGGACACAGTGATTGATGATTTTCTTATACTTGATATATATGGATCTGATGTAAATAGAAGGCCATGAAATAATACATCTTCATTCATTGCGGACCTAGAGCACTTTCTAGCGTGATGTAATCTGATACTTTTGTAATCTTTATTACGAGATTCTCGGGTATCCTCAGATAAAAGACCAATAGGCAGAACTGATGAAGGCATGTTATACCACATGTGTTTTGTAACATTGCCGAATTTTTCTGGATTTTCTGCAATGCCGGATACCACCGTCTGAAGGATTATATAGAATCTTTTAATAAGATCCTCGTCAACTCCTGTAATTTCTGAAGAGCATTAGTAGTTCTCAAAAAATCGTCGAGCTGTAATGTGTCGGCGTATTGTGCCAATAGTAATGATGGCAAATCATTACTATTTCCACTTCCTTGACGGGGTTTATCAAGATTTAATCCCATTCGGCTTCGAAATAAATTTTGTACAAGTTTCTTCTTGTCTTCTTTAAATTTCTTCTCTTCTGGGGTTCTTCCAGCCCATTTTTGAAACGAAAGATTATATGAAATATGTAAAATCAACTCCATACATCTAATCCACGCATGAAGCGTAGATAAACCGCACTCGTAAGCACTTATCTGGTTTTGATTAAAATTTTTCCAAATCATTTATTTCGCTTGGTCTAGCACCACACACCGTACACAGCTCCAGAGCTCGTATCAGTTAGAGCTTGTGCGACTTTTCCATCGACTATAGTTAAGAATAGCTCGTGACTTATTTCAATTACCATAATATCTTTGCGCCATTTATCGTTTCCAAATTATTGATTTGACCACGAATATCTCCAACCACCAAACCGGTTTTTTCTGGCGTTTCTTTGGCAAATCCCATCAAAATTGGCCGGCAATATCAAATAGAGGAGCAAACTGGATTTTGCCAAGGAGCCTCGTTTGTTTCTATATCCGTCATCTTTATTGGTACTAGAGACGCTATAAAGAAGTTTGCATCTGAGACTAGGTCACTTTCATCCGTTAAAATTTGTTTGTAATCTTTTTGTCCCGATGAACGATCCCACCCCCATTTAAGATTTCTTCTTGTTGGGTTGTAAACATTCTCAATTTTTAAAATACGGCATGTAGAATGATCCAGCAAGTCTTCGATGTAGTTTTACTTTAGCGCTTGAATCGGTTACTTCAATGCTTGAGGGTGGAGGATAACACAGTTTTTTTGCGTTTATCAATATATTATAAGAGGGTAATATATCTAAGTTTTTGTTAATCAGACTTGTTTGAAGTAATCCGTATTGTGATTGCGAAAGATATCAATCACCAAAAAAACTTAAAGCTTCATTGGCCGTAAAACAGCGATTACTTTTTGATTTCTATCCCAATTCCGGAACATTTCAACAACAGAAGCTTCTTCAACTTCTCTTTCACACCGCAATCCTTGGACATATGCGTTATATATATAGTCGAGTCCATATTCTTGAATCAACTCCATATTATTCTTCTTTTTCGATAGATTTCCATAAGATTTTGGTAGTCTTCCACGTTCTCCAGATGTTGTAAGTGTGATATTCATTGGTACTTCTTCAAGTTGTGCCTTTTTCCCCTACCATCACATACATTCATCATCCAACCACGTTGTATTTTTAATACTTTTTCCCCTACCAAGCTTAGCGGTCTTTAATTCGGTTAGATTTAATCCATCGATCGTTAAAAGCTGCTATAAGATTTTTTGAATATTTTCAGAACTATTTCACTTTTAGATGAGGACAAATGATGGTGTTCATCTAAATATTGTTTAATATCTTCTGATTTAGTTCCGTGGTCAATGAAAAATATGCATACACTCGCCGAGGCACAACAAATTCACTCATTCTGTTGTTAATATTGTTTTTACCGAGGATGGCAAAGACTATGTTGAAGCACAATAAAGTACTGGTAAATAACAATAAAAACAACTTTTATAGCTAAATTTCGTGAGAAAAATGTTATTATCTTCGAGCGTCTACATTTTTAACCACATTGTTAACCACTATCTTTAAAATTGGTTATATATTGATTAGATATGCAATATCAACAGTAACCACAATTTCCTTCCTTTTTTTTCACACCTAACTCAGTGGTGGAGTATATACACTACATGATAATTATTTAATTCTCAAAGTAATAATAAACATTAATAAGGTACATCCGGACGAATGACAAAAATCAGATTAATATGTAACCCAGGAATTCCCACTTTTCCTTAACTTTAATTTAGTTATCACTTAATAATATTATTTAAAAATAAAGCGTAAAAAATTATCCTTTTACCCAAAAATCTTCCGCAACAAATGTGAACATAATTTTTTTTCTGGTGGTAGGACCTCTTGTGAGTCCGCGCGGGTGGGTACCACCACCCTGCCTATTTCTACCGTGAAGCAGTAATGCGTTTCAGTTTGAAGGGTGGGGCAGCCGTCGTTACTATACTTGAGACCTTAGAACTGGTATCTCAAGGTGGGTGGTGCATTTACGTTGTGGATGTCTATGGGCTCCAGTAACCACTTAACACCAGGTGGGCTGTGAGCTTGTCCACCCATTTAAGCAATAAAAAATAAATTTGAACATTTTCGCGATAAGGCTTTTTTCGTCTGATTTCAAAGGGGACGAATACGGACAATTTTTTTTTATTGCTCTCACTTTTGTATGAGTAGGTTTATATGATGCTATTCAAATTACGGCATCCAGCGAATTACGACATACAGCGCTAATTGTCAAAAGTCTATTTGAAGTTTATACAGAAGATAATTTTTTAAAAATTATATAAAAAATACCTATCCATTCTTTGTGTATGGGTCTATTCAAATATCATATTCAATTATCAGTCTATTCAAATACTATTGAAACTTTTATTACATCGTCTCAAGCTTTTTCGTCTGTGTGTTGCATGTCGCGTGACGGTTGACCGCGGAGTAGGGATAAAGAAAAAGGCGCTCGTCAGAGTGGCCAGTGTGCCAGTGCTCCATTTTGTTTGTTTTTGTCAGTGTTTAACGTAAATGTTGTTTGTCAGAGTTAAATGTCTATAATGTGAAAAAAAAAAAAAGGATTGTGTGGTTTTATGATACCACGGTAAAAGTGAAACTTTTTTCACTTTAAAAATCATTATGTTAGTTTTTACGTATTATTACATATTAATGCTATACTCTAAATCAAAACAGTACCTGAGTCTGGATTGTTGTAAAATTCAATAAATGGATTTGCATCATGTTGTATAAGCGGCAAAATTTCAAGGTCTTCCTCATTTTCATCAGGGTGACATAATTTTCTATATGCTTCAATAATTTTGTCAATATCTAAATTTGATTCAAACTCTTCACGACGAGCTAAAATCAGTTGTTCGTTTTCTTCATAAATTTGATTGAATCGCATTTCAGCCAAAATGTCCCTTTCTTCATTACGAAATGGAATGTACAAAGTAACCATTTCACGTTTGTAGTCTAACATTTGATTTGCCATATCGTAATGTCGATAGCGTACGATCCTTGGAGTTTTCCGACGGTAATATACTTTATTACTTTCTTGATTAATGTTTTCTTCTGGTGCTAACCCTTCTTCAATGGCTACTTCATCTTCTGAATTCGAATTTTCGTCTGTAATTTCAGGTTCCGACGGGTTTCGTCCAGATTTCACTGCATACCAAGCAACAAACTGAATCAACGAAATATCTTCTAATTCTGCAGGTCGATTTTCGTATTTTTCGAAACAGTTCTCTTTCCAAATATTGGTATCGTTATCAGAAAGTCTTTCTAATTCTTTCTCTGTTTTTCGAATACGATGACGTTCCTGAGGCCACATCGTAGGTATGAATTCAACCTTAAGCGTTGATTTAGACATTGGTTCCCTAAGAAGAAACCATGCTGCTTCTTGGCTAGACATTTCTATTGTATTTAAAATATTAACACTCATATCTTTCGTTATTTCAACTAAATCTAAATTTGGATTTTCTTCCAAAAGATTCAGTAGTTCCCGCTGAAGATTACTAGTGCCTCGATTCGATTCGTTTACATACTCCACAACGAATGCAGCACAGGAATACTCATCTGTTATGTATTGGATATCCATGTTCGACTGCAAATGGTGAAATATAAATGGATTAAAGAAGTTATGCCATTTTTCATTAGGGTGCCGTTTAACGAAAACCATTGGCCTTAAAATTCCAGCAGATAGAATTTTATGATAGT